GGGGGAGGGTCGTGGGAAGGAGCTGTACTGACCTATCAGTGTCTACGGGGGTAATGAGGTCTGGCGCTCTATGCCCTGCTTACTGTGTTTCAAATGATACCTGGTACTCTACTAGACTACTATAGTACCTGTTTCGTTTGAATTTAACTATTGACGTTGAAATTATTTATCAAATCTGGCCTTTCTTGTGACTGGAGGTGGCTTCAACAACTTCCTCTTTTAGAGCATTCTACTTGTTAAGTACCCGTACAGGGAACAAGCACTTCGATCCTTACGTCCCATCGGTTCAACCAAGTTTCCAGCATAAGAACATAACATAAGAACAATTTTTTATAATATTATTATTATTATTATTATTATTATAATATAGAATATAATAATATAGAATATTTTATAATATTATTATTATAATATTATTTGACATAAACTATGTAACCCTTCCCTAGTCTAGGGTAGCAATTGACAGATGCGATGTAGCTCTTCATGTAGCCTAGGGTAGGTGCATACATGCGGATGTACCTAAATGTGTTGATAAACAACAATTAGTGTGGACGAGGAAATGTGTCCCGGGTCATAAATATAGAGCTGGTGGCGGCGTTAATGTGTGGAGAAAGCCAAAGGGTTTTCCTGGCGTCACAAGTGATGTGTGGAGACTTTCTGGGAACTTCTTCCTCTCTTGGCCTCCAGTGATTGTTGCATCAGGCTACCGTAGGTTACTTAGTGTCCCATTTTCTTTGTGATTCGGATGCACCTTATTATGCATAGGCCTATTAGAGGTGCATTTGTTGGGCTTTAACTAATTGCAGCATAAATTAACAAGTGTTCACTACAAAATGTATATACTACATAGGCTACAGTAGGTATATATTACAAGTTATAATGTTACTGGTGCCAAACTGAGCAATAGTTTCCTGTCGTGTGCCTGCGTAGGTGCTCGAGGGTTGAGCTTCAGCTCTTTGACGTCTTATCATATGTGGGAGACGTGATCCAGTGACTTCACTTGGCTAATCTTGAAACTGTAAGTCTGGAGCTTACAACAACTAACGCTATGAACATCATAGGTTCACGGTTATTAAGTATTTTCCAACGAACATAAGAAACATTGCCGGAACAAAATGTCAGAGAGAAAATTAGACACGTTCCTGCAAGAACTGCCGAGCCAACTGGGTTATGGTGACTGTATGGGTCTGGGGACCGCTCCAAGCAAACGGCCTGTTGGACAACATGGTTTCAGAACTGGACGCTCTTGCCAATCACAGTTGCTGGACCACTATGACATGGCCTTGGATGCCATGGAAGACAAGCAAAACGCTGATGTAATTTACAGATTTTGCAAAAGCCTTCGACAAATGTGACCATGGTGTTATTGCACACAAAATGCGTTCAAAAGGAATTTGCCGGAAAAATAGGCAGATGGGTGTACAATTCTTGACTAACAGAACCCAATGTGTAATAGTCAACAAAATAAAATCCGGACAATCAACCATAAAGAGTCCCCCAGGGTACTGTGCTTATGCTCCAGTACTTTTTATCATCATATCGGACATAGATAAGGACACATTCTATAGTACTGTATCATATTTTGCAGATGACATTAGGATTCTTAAGAACATAAGAACATAATAACAAAGGCAACTGCAGAAGGCCTATTGGCCCATACGAGGCAGCTCCTATTTATAACCACCCAATCTCACTCATATACATGTCCAACCCATGCTTGAAACAATCGAGGGACCCCACCTCCACCACGTTACGCCTTCCCCTCCTTTTCTCTCCCCTCCCCTCCCTCTTTTCTCCGCATTTCCCCTCTTCTATCTGTTCTCTCTTCCACCTCCCGTCCCATCACACTCGCCATATTTCAAGTAGTTCATCCCGTCCCCCGCCCCACATCCTTGTTGAGGCAGCACACAGCTGCTCATCTAGTTCTTCACGCACTGTTCTCTACAGTTGTAAGTTTAATGTCGTTAAGGGAAGCGGGGCCAGCAGGGGCAGGTAATATATCAGAAGCAGGTGTGTGTGTGTGTGTGTGTGTGTGTGTGTGTGTGTGTGTGTGTGTGTGTGTGGGTGGGTGGGTGGGTGGGTGGGTGGGGGGGGAGTGTGGTAGACTGGTACTACCGAGGGTGTTGGCTAGCCAAGTGTGGGCGCTGGGTGGGGAATATTTGTTAGGTTCAGCATGCGGGCGGGCTCTTTTTCTCCCTCCCACCGCCCCTCTCCCCCTCTCTCTCTCTTGCCACGCTCAGAGTTGTTTTGTGTGTGGGTGGTAACACTATCGTGCTTAATATAGTCTAGAGGTTGTTAGGTTAGAATTAGCTATCACTGCACCTCGATACCATGGTTTGACTGCACAAAAGACAGCAGGAGTCTAGCCAGTTGCAGTTAACTTGTGTGTTTGGGATTTGCTGTTTTTCTCCTGTATGATAAAATCCTTAAATTTTGAGCTGTTGTTCCTAGCCATTCATATGTAAAGTAAAACCAAGCGATTCTCATCCTTTGTAGTCACGTTGGTATGTAATAGGACAAGTGATGGCGATTTCAAGTCTGGCGAGAAGATATGGGGACATACCGAGTATGTCCCCATATCGTTGGAATCGGTTGGAAGTCTGCAATTGTAAAAATTGTTATCAGTATACTATTATAGCATAAAGCGTATATAGGACGCTTTGAACGCTTCGTATTTTTCCGTATAGCATAAAGTAGTATAATTATTACATGTCCATCAGTAGCCGCGATTGACCACATCTCTACTTCCTCATCCCGGCCTTACGGCAGCTAGGCTTTCCCTGGGTGATGAGCCATTAAACTCGTTCGGTTACATAAAAATATGGTTACGTCACGGAGAACAATGAGAGGTGGAGAAGGAAGCTGGCACCACATTGTTTCCGCTTGCATAATTTCCATCTGTGGCCCATGGCACAGAGAAGCGGTGCTCAAAACTCTTAGATATTCTGGGTTGAAAGATGAGGTTGAAAAAGCCACCCCCCCCCAATGTATTTGATGTATACGATGTATACTTGGATAAAAATCCTTAGTGCCTAGAGGTAGGAGGGGGTAGATAGATTCACGCACAGACGACCCATTAAAAATGTTTGAACGGCCTGTCCTCACATTGCGACTAGCATCTGAACGTTGAGAGCTTCCCATGAACCCCCACAACCATCGCAGGTGCCACGCCCAGCGCATCCATATCCACTTAGGGATAAAATTCTCGAAAAAAAAAGTTGGCGGATTTGGAATTTTTTTTGTTGGCAGATGTGATTTTTTTTATTGTCGGATTTTAATTTTGTCAGATTTTAAGTTAAATTTTTGTCCCATACTTTCTTTGAAGCTGATAAGACGCATATGGTCCTCTTATTTACATCGTGCTGTCTAAAGTCCATTACCTGTTTGCCTCTCCTTCAGTTCTTCGTCTCGGCACCATACTGGGTTACTTACACCTCAACTCTGGTGCCTTTGGTTCGTCCCCTATCTTGAAACTGTATGTATGTGGAAACTGGCGTTCTGTCTCGACAATCGGGTTGCCATATTTCCGTATTTTCCAGGACATGACCTGGATTCAGGTGTTTACATTTGAGCGGATTTTTTTCTTATTTTATGTTTGCGGATTATAAATTTGTGGTTGGCGGATTTAGATTTTTTATTGACGAATTTGGATTTTTTGTTGGCGGATTTGACTCTTTTTCGTTGGTGGATTTAGACTTTTGTGTGAACTAAACCTTATTGATACCTAACTTACCGACCCATGCATAGAAAATGATTGTTCTTGAACCGCTATAATTTATAGTACTGTACCACATTATTCGTAGGTTGGGGATTTTCATGTCGAAGCATGTGTTACTTGAGTGGACAGGTTGTACCCAAAGTATTGACTCTTGATATCATAGTATGAGGGTAGACTAAATGAGCCGAGCTACCATCACTGAAGGGTTTCACCACTACCCACGGGATGGGTATGGGGTGCATAATAAAGAAAATCAATCAAATGAAGGAAGATATGATAGATGTAACTAAGATATTGACAGACAAAATAAATCGATAGGCAATAGACAGAAACAAAACAGAGGTTACCTAAATTTACCAGAGGGTTACCTTACCTTGAGGTTACCTTGAGGTGCTTCCGGGGCTTAGCGTCCCCGCGGCCCGGTCGTCGACCAGGCCTCCTGGTTGCTGGACAGGGTCAACAGGGACAGAAAGCCGGTGGCTTATCAAAGATCACTGTTAGTCCTCAGTATTTTTCCAGCTGAATTATAACTTAAATACTGTACTGCTATATTAATTAGTTTTTAAGACTGATGGATAGGTGATTTCATTCACCCTGTGGGCTATGGGTGAAAAAGCATCTCCTGATTTGTGTTGTAACCTTTGTTGTTTGTAACCTAGAGGCTGCTGGCCTTTGGAAAGTTACATTTGGACCTTTTAAAGAAGTGGTCTGAATTAATATCTTCCAATTTGTAAGGCAATTTAAAATTCTCAATGCATTTGAGAATTTTATCCTTTATCTTTTGGGTTATAAGGCAATGTGCCTTCAATATGTGATTAATGAATCCGTGATCATTATTAGGGGGTAGGAAGTCGTAAGTATATTATTTTGGGTAGCCTATATTAGTTACTGTAGTTTAATGCTGATAAATAAGTTCATTGACATTGAAATGTGTATGAATAGACCAAACATACATTGCACACTACTTTCAAATCAGTTATCAGTATATACGTTATTAAATATGATTAGTAGTCACTAAGAACTCTTGACCAGGGGTCAAACGTGCATAACCAGGGTTCACCCCCAGCATGCACAGTACTGAAACCACTTCTTAAACAATCACAACATTTCTGTATATACTGTGGATGCCTGGGGTGAGCCCTTGCTATGCAGGTTCGAACCCTGGTTGGGTCATAGTTCTAAGTGATTTATGGCTTGGGGTAGCTTTCTCAAGCTTTCATGAATAGCAGTACATTTAATGGTTTGGTGCCCTTTCCTGATAATTACCTTACATTTCCCACAGAACAAAGTGCGTGTGTTGGAGTCGTGGGTGCGTGACCTCGGGGAGCAGAACGCAGTCTTGGTGGTCACTGTGGAGGAGCTGGAACGGGAGGCAGCAGACCGTGTGGCACTCTTGGAGGACCGCCTTGCAAAGATGGCCACCACCACCAGGGAGTCTTGCGTCTCTCTGCGAGACCATCAGATTCAGGTTTGATGGGGTGTATTTATGAAACAACTATGCATAGAAAGCTGTGGTGGGGATTGAGGGATGTTCTGGGGCAGGTGGGAATAGGGTGAGGGGGGGGGGGATGAGGCAGAGGCTTGTATAGTTGAATTGTGGTATGGGCTAGTGGTGCATGGTGGAGTTGACAGGTGGGATACTATGCAAATCTATCATAGTGGGGGGGCAGGAATGGGTGTGTGGTGGAGCTGTGATGTGCTAATAATATTGGTCATTCTTACATGCAGTGAGCATAACAGCAAATATATATGATAGGATGGATTATGAGAACCTTTAAATCATTCATGCTCTCCTGCCTCAAGTACTCGTCAGTACTCACTGCCATTGTTCAACCACTTAGACTGGACAGAAGAGCAACAGTCTTGCTCCTTGCAGGTTGATGTTCAATCCAAGTTAGTCAGTGGTTGAGCACCATTGCTTCCCACCATATTATTCCAAATTCATATCCTCATCCCTTCCATGTGCTATATAGCTGTATTGGCATAGTGCCTTCTGATAATCATTTTGCCTTCCCCTTTCAAAGTAGGAGAGTTTCCTGAAATAGATGAATAGAGAACATATACAACATTCATAGACATGATAAAGAAGCTAAATTATTGGGATCGTCTCGAAGCATCTGAAATGTGTTCTTGGGTAAGGAGACGAGAGAGGTATCATATATATATACTATATACGGAAGATATTAAAAGGCAGGTCCCAGATATGCACAATAAAATAGTAACATACTGAAGCAAAAGACATGATAGGAAATGTAAAACAGACCCAATAAGGAGTAGAGGTGCCATAGACACATCAGAGGTCCATTACTAGTCACTCCTCTCACCAAATACAAGGAATATTGCCAGAATTCAAGTAGATGTGTTAGAGACAGTTGAGAAAGTTCCTGTGGGAAGTGCCGTACCAACCAGGTTTTTAGTGGATATGTGAGATTGTGGGCTGCTTCAAGTAAAGCCTTTTTGATAAAGTTATCTCAACACAAGAATGGCCCCAGACTTGGGGGAATAATAGAATTTATGGAAGGAATTGCAGGCAAGGAGCAGGAAATATGTTTTGGTTTCGGTGAGGATTGCATTTTTTTTTTTTTTTTTTACCTCGGTAAGGAGTGCATTGTGGAGGGTGTGGCACAGTGAGGGGGTGTATTGTGGGGTTGTGGCATTGGCAAGTTGTGTGATTGGGGGAGGGGGGGGACATTATGTACTTGAGTGTTTGCCTGGAGGCAGTTGTAGGGTCCATCTCTAAAACCTGTTCAGTTTGAAACCCATGATTTTTGGATGAAATACTTGAGCAACTAGAATGTATAACATTTGATAATAAAGACCTTTAGGTCTATTACACTATTGGGTAGTGTACTGAATTTGTTTCACAAGCTTTACATAAAATGAGAATTATGCAATTAATAATGTGGTGGTGTTTATTTAGGGTACTAATTTTGACTATGCAATAATAATTATATTAATAATTTATTATTATTAAGAATATTACTATTAATATAATAATAACAAGGGTGAGGGAAGCACTAATTGCCTGTTGCTGCAGACCATTTGGAGATGAATATTAAATTCCTCTCCATCGTAGTCATTGGTATCCATAATGTTTGTCATCTTATAAAATGCTGCATGTTGCTTATACTGCACCATGCAAATTGCTGTAAGTTATTGTAAACATGTATTGTTGCTTACAACAATGTTTATGTTGTAAGCAACAATTTGATCTACGTTGTCCTCTGGCATCCATATGTATTCCTTTGGGTTTGTTGACAGGTATCGTCTCTAGTCACAGATAAAATTGGGTTGGAGAAGAAGGCTCAGAGTCTTGGAGAGAAGATGCTGGCTCTGGAGAGACGGAATGTGTGCCTCAAGGAGGAGAATAATAACCTACAAAGTGATCTCACAAATCTTGTGCAAGTGAGTGTAACTGTTCCATTTTGATTCATTGGTTTCAAGATTATTTCTTACTTGCTCAACCCCCCAAAAATGTAAACATTCCCTGCCAAGTGAAGTGTATGTTACAATGATATTGCTCTCATGTTTGGAAAACTGTTTTCATTTGTTGTTTAATTTCAGACAATGAGTATATTTGGGATAATTCTGGAGTACTGTACTAATGTTAAAAGCATAGCTTGTCAAATTTCTTGCCGACTTAATCATGGAAAGAGTACTTACAGTATTTTGTTCCCTGTAGGTAATAACCCGTGCGAGACAGACGGGTCAGTGGGAAGCTGATGATTTAACGTTCTCATGCGTGACGCCCGAGCAAGTGTTTGGGACAGTGTTATCATCCTCCAGGTTTGTAGTTGCACTTGTTTTATCATACAAATGTTTAAACATTGCATTTAAACAATAGGTTTCCTAAATATCTATACTATACCCTGTACATATTATTTTCTGTTTATGGTGTACAGTATATATATATACTGTACAAGGTACAGTGGGTTGTGAATGTACTGTTTATATTTTTGCGATAAAATGGCACATTCCAGCAGTCGATAACATGCACAGCATTTTGGCCAAAATGTACTGTGTTCATTATGTAAAGGCATCTAAATCATGGAAGGCTTGCTTCAGCATTCCATTAAATTTTATTAGAAATTGAACAGGGGTTGATGGACATAGAGAATCAAGAAGATTGAGGGACAAAGGAGTATGTTGTATAATCCTTCTAGTTATTGAAACACACATTCAGATACAGTATTTTTAAATTTATTTAGTGTCAAGTACAATACAGTTGGCTGTCACTGTTTACAAGATTGGTATGTGCGAAGTTAATTTTGCATGTGATAGATATTGTGATGAACAATGTAAGCATTATTTGATTAAAAACATAAATTTTGAGTAATATTCACGGATTAAATTCTCATATTTTGAGCAGAAGATCATCGCAGTCACTCAAGGAAAGTCAGCATGACTACATTCACCAAATCTTTGAAGATCGCCTTAGAAAAGATAACTCATCTTTGGCAAGTTCTTTCTCAAATCTTCAAGTAAGTAGTGAGAGAAATTATAACAAAGATCACCTTTCGACAAGTTTTTTTGAGCAATCATTTCATGGGAGGGCCTCATCAGTAGCTCCATAAGCTTAGTGCTGGCTCAGCCAAGTCTTGTGCAGAAGTACCAGTCACCAGAAGTAGCCACTTATGCCTTCTGGGAGCCACGGTATGATTCACTCGTAATACGTGAGAAGCCTGGAGTTCAGAGATAATACAAAAACAAAGACAAATCCATCAGAAAGCATAGGCACAACAAAACTAATAACTGTGCCGAAGAAAACTAAGAGGTAATGAGGCAAATGATCTTTGCCACGAGGTAAACACCCTAACCATTGTGCCTGTCATCAGGCGACAACCCTGGTTACCAGGGGTTCCAGCTCTCTCTTATTTTCCTGGACATAACATATGGGGTATGGTACCATTGATAGCCTATCCTGTGCTTCATGCTAATACAAAGTGGTGTATATTATTGCTGGAACACAAGTTCCCTCAGGGGCCTTTGCACTTTGTTTCCTTTCTCGTGAGTGGGTATTTTTTCTCGCACATTGTGTGTGCCCTAATTTTGTATTTCACTCCAGCTGTGGACTAGGATTCCCTTCCTTGCTAGTCAGCTTGCATTTACTTTGCCCCTTCAGAGATGACTGCTTTGAGGGTTTTGGGTTCTTCCTTTGTGGGGAGGGGGGGTTAGCTTTCCTGGCATTAATGCCGGGTTCTTGTCGTGGGTTTTGGGTTGCAAGCCCGACGCTTTAGACTGTTCCCACACTGTGTGCCCAGCTTTGTTACCAAGCTGTGTGCTCTGCTGTGGTTCCTGGGCTTGTGCATTCTGTGGTTTCCAGGCTTGTGTGCCCTGGGGTTCCCGGGCATTAGTAGCTGTTTAGTTAACCTAACTGTGGCAACAATTTATTTATACTTGTTAGCCTGGTAGCTTGGTAGTTCTCTGGCCCTGTGTTATTACTTCCTTGTACTGTGTGGTAGGCAATAGTGTTTCACTGCTCATCAGCCTTGTTGCTTTGCTTTTAATTTTTGTACTCGGCCCTGGGACAAGTTGGCTGGAACTCTGGGTGACCTGGTAGTAGCTGAACTCCATCACAGTTAGGGTGTTTATGCCACAATAATGATCAATAATAATCAAGGATGGGTCTAAGCCTGATGAATGTCCCTACAACCCGTAGTCTCAAGTGTTCACAATGTCATTAAATTGAGATAGTAAATTGACTGAACATGACCTAACCGAGGATCCATGAATTGAAAATGGGATATCACATAAATTTTGTGAGCCACTATGATTCTTTGTAAATCCAGTTTTTGGCCTTGGGGAATTTAGTCTTCAAAATGTGATGTACTATTTGAGAAGGCGGGGTTGCTTACAAAGGTTTGGTTGGGTCAACACTTGGCTCGGTTAACTACCAAGTGACAAGCAGGAAAGGGGATTTCTTGAAATTTAGTGCTTGATTTGAGTTAGAGAATTTTTTTTTCTTCTTTTTTTAGTAATGGGTAAATGGTGGTGGAATTGCATATAGATTTTCTGGATCAGCCCCTGGACCTGGTGAAGCTTTCAGAATTTTAAAATGTGGAGTTATGGTATCCCCAAGCCTGATTCACTCAAAACTTTAACAAATAAAGTACACTATAGTACATTAGTTATAATAATTCATCATATGGAAACGGTTTAAATAATTTAATTTTGTCTCCATGCAGAAATAAAAGCCATGAAGAAATTACAGTACAGTATTAGGTTTATTTATGCATGATTTTCATATCTGTTAATACTGTACTAAAACTAATGTAAAAATAATACAAATGGGGGGGTTCAAACACAGGAGATAATTGCAGATATCGATTGAAGTTGTGTTGGGTTTAAGAGCAGAGTACTGGGGAGGATGGATATGTATTATACAAAACGGTGCTCAGATAAATTTGGAACAAAGTATGTGTGTGACTGTGTGCACCTTTTCATGTTTCCATACATTTTCCACCTGATACTATGGTTTTGAACCACATAAACTTTCAAACACCGGAGGTCATAACGCTCTGCTGCACTCGGTGAACAGTTTTAATTATTTTAGTACTGTATTTTATGAGATGGTGTGCCAACTCATTCCCATCATGGGGATGGGTGAAAGAATGGGTGAACCCACTCCTTCCCATTAAGGTGTGACATTGAATTTTTAAGTTGAAATTATATAACCATTTGTTTTAGGATGCAGACAGTGCATATGGAGGACGAGGGTCTGAAAAAGACCTGTTAATTATGAAATTGAAGGCTGACCTGCGAAGTTTGCAGGCGACGCATGAGGAAACCAACAGGCAACTGCTAGAGAGAGACAAGCATATTGCAGACTTACAGGTAACATTCTGTATATTATAAAACTTGAATGAAAATCATTGTAAAGATTATTAGATACTGGAATAGTATTGGATTTGATCCACGATGGAGTACGTTAGTTTGGAAAGAGTTTAGTTGTTTGCATATAATAAATATAGCTTGTAAAAGAAGTTAATCATTTGTATTTTAGTAAATTGTAATTTAGTTATTCTCTCATGCAATTCATCTCTTCTTTGAACAGACACAACTGACAGATACCCACCATGAGCTAGCCTTATCTCAGGCTGAAGTCAACAGTGTTAATCACACATTGCAAGAAGCACGTCACCGCAGTAGACATGAAAATGTTGAGGTCCGTAGTCTTTAGGAATTTGTTTATTTTTCTTAAGATTTGCAAGTTAGTCCCTTCATTATCTTATTCCTAATACAGTCTGAGGCCTAATATAGTACATATGTACCATACTAGGCCTAGGAATATTTATTTATTTTTTGCTCTATTTTTCCGGATTCTTATGAAGTGAATAGTACCAAATTCTATTATCTAAGTGTCCATTACGTCAGTACAGTATATGTATTATGGTCCACGTAGATACAAAAAGTACTATCTAAAGAGAATGGGTTGTCAAGTGACATCGGCCTTTCATTCTCCCTTTCACACTTGGGCAACACAAACACTACTACACTAGTAACTGCCTCAGGGTACTGTGTTGCAGCCAATTTATTAAATATAGTAATACAGTATCCAGTTTACAAGATGGATGAAACATTAATTGTTGTAAACAAACTGATAGCTATTTATGGCTCTATATTTACTCTCACTTATTGGGTCCTTCAGTGCAGTGGTCTACATCCTTGGCTTGCAATCCAGGATTAAGGGTTGAGCCCTGGGTGGGACAGACAGCTGGGCCCCTTTCCATTAACCTGATGTCTCTGCTCACCTAGTACCAAATATGTACCTAGGAGTTGGATAACTGTTGTGGGTTACATCCTAGGAAAGGTCATAAATAGTTAGCCTAAGGGAGACCTGGATAAGCCTAACAGACTTCATGTCCATAACTTTGTTAAACAATAAGATGAACGGTACCACATTCTCTCTCTCTCATGATTACCGTGCTGTATGTAATCGGCTGTCCTGCTATACCCGCTACCTAGCATCACTTGTATGTACTTCATAGTGATATACTTCATTTATTCATTCATTCATCTGTCTTTAAGGTAGTCTAGATTGCATTTACTGTGTCACTAAACCAGAATGGTAGCTTTTATGAGCCATAGATGCCACACTGATCAGTCAAGTTTTGGATCCTTTAGTAGTGTGGTCAGTGATCTCGACTCGTAATCGAGGATCCCAGGTTCAATTTCTGAGTGAAACAGAGGCTGTTGGGGATGTTTTCTTTTATGATATTTCTGTTCACCTAGCAGTAAAGTGGTACCCAGGAATTGGGCAACTGTTGTAGGTTACATCCTGGGAAAGGCTGGTAGGTTTACCTAGATGGGGGGGGGGGGAAGATTGAAGAAGGAACTTCAATACAAACCCAAGTACAGGCTTGTGGTCATGACTTGGTCATGTTTTGTTGACCAGGTCTCACCAGGAAAGCTTGGATGTTGACCAGGCTGTGAGAATAGGAAAAACCTATGCTTGGTTATGTGTAATCTTTACATTGCATTATTATTCCTCATTCCATCTATCTAATGCATCATGTGACTTGGATTCTCTATTCAATCAAACACTACATTTCTCGTGTTCATGTCACAACAGTATTTTGTGTGAATCCATAGGAGCCGTGATGAGTATTCGAACCTATATGGTGGGTGTTCCCACGCACACGCCCTAGTCAACTAGATCATGACTTGGGCAAAGTTAGCTAGGGTCTGTGCGTGGGAACACCCACCACATAGGTTCAAATTCTCATCACGGATTCCGTAGATTTTCCCGGATACATCATGTTAGTGTGATTACTCTGTGTAGTGTTTTGTGTGTTAGTTGTGGGTTGGATTGCTCGGTATGTATTCATGCTGCAGCCTTTCACATTTTATACCATCTAACTAGGGCACTCAGTGTAATTTACTTGTCTAACACACATTCCTCTCAGATTCACATTGAACCATCTCTTCGCACACAAACTACAGTATCTTGTGTACTCAGCTAGTCTGTGTAATCTGCATACATAAAGTTTGTGCCATATACGGTACAGTATATCCATAATACACAAAGTTCACGTCTTTCCACCTGTTTACTTGCTGAGTGACAATGGGGTCAATCTACAGCCTTGACATTCTCCTATATGTATATAAAACGAGTTACTTGGTGCTCCACTTGGGTGACAATTAAATCAAATGATCTTAATGTCTTGTGGGACGTTTTTCATTAATTTGCATGTTCTTGTTTCAGATGACCCGTAAGGAAGAAGTCATTCGGCATTTGCTTTCCAAACAAAGTGTGTTCAAGAAGGATTCTACAAACACGTCTGTGAAATCACTCTGCGATTTGGACAATGTTATCACAGGAGAAAATAATGCAAGTTTAGATTTTTGTTTTTATGTTCTGAAGTGTACAAAACTGTTTAATTTTTGTGTAAATATCTCAAAATGCCGAGTTTTTAGTTTAAGATTGTTAGAAAAGAAAAATGTTATAAGGAGCAGGAAGAACACAACACGAGGCCAAGAGGGTGGAGTGTGTCGCCGAGTTGAAAAATACAATTGCTTAGGGGATAGTATGCTTGACTTATTGTATTGAATTTTGGGAGATGCCTGCCTACTATGAATGTATAAACATCTTTTACTCTTTAGGTTGAGGCACAACTCGGCAAGAATATTGATGTGTTAGTAAGTCGTCTAGCCGAACTGGAAGAAGAGTGCCAACAAGTGCGTGACCAACACGCTGCACTCCAAAACACACATGCTCTCTGTACCCCAACCATCAACATGCTTCGGGAACAACTTAATAGATCACATCAGGTTGGTATTGAAGTGTCTTTTGTATCACTTATCACTTGCATGTACAATTCCTTAATATAAGATTGTATGATAAAATCCTGGCATGTGTTAGTTTTTGACTCTATCATTTCTGAAACACTTCAAAGTAGGTGAACACTCTAAGTAGAAACACTCACTAGGTGAGTGAGATTTTATAAAAAAAATTGTAAGCTTTTTAAAAATTAAACCAACCTCCTGAGTTGAAAATGTCATTAATTTATTCATGTTTTTGTATTACTGTATATAGATAATACTATAGAAGTATATCTCCACATCAAATAGTTCGTATATATTGCATCTCTTTAGGTGCTGTTCCTCTCTCGATGAATATTCCTCTGTTTTATTAGGGCTATATTAGTACCTGCTGTCAATGTGCAAAATACCACATGGCTTCTAATGTATAAAAGCATCTGCATGGAGTTGAGTTTTTTGTGCCAGTGGCTGAAATAATACAAACTTGCTACTGCACCTGTTGCACCCCAGTAATATTTTACACTTAACCCTTCCATTGCTCCAACTTCCATTTGCTTTCTTTCCCCATTTGATTCATTAACTATTTTTAGTCATGGGCCCCCACGATCTACTGTAGTACAATACCTGTGTATAGCTCTATAGTTTTAGGGGTTAACCATTTGTGATTGATTGTAATGTGTGTGTGTACATTTGCTTAGATTTAACATTGAATTTTTTCATCCTTTTTGAAAGATTTTTAGAAACTTTGTAGCTTTTCTTCATAATAAAAGCATTTAGGAAAGCCAAATACAGAAGTTTCCCAGTTGTTTTAACATAGGAACTAGGAGGGTACCAAAATTTTAATAAGGCTGACTGGGCATGTACAGTATAACAGTTAGTGTACACCCATTGCATTACTTTGCACTAAACCCACACAAGACATGTGAATAGTGGCAATAATTTCACATGTCCTGGGTTCCCCACTTGGTAATAGATTTGGACGGACTGAAATATCGTGGAGCTCACAGTCGGGAAAACAAGTGTTCATTGTTTCCAGCCACTGAGTTCTTTATTCATTGTAGTTTAAATTACTCTTTGGGGATGGGTTACATGAACAAAATTGGCTCATAGCATGTTAGTTTCTGCATAAGCTTCTCTAACTACATAACCCCCTGATACTCCAATGATATAGACCCAAGTGGAGTTGCGCACGGTACTAACAGCTGAGGTTGCCCAACGACACGATCAATTGGTTGCCCTCAGAGACGAGTTGAAAGAACAGGAGCAGAAGCATCATGAAACTCAGATGCAGCTTCAACTTAAGACTGAGGTTATAAAGGATCTGAGGAAGGAAGTACGGGATATGAAGGAGAGGCAATATATAGTTGATGATAAGGTAATTACTTTTAGTCATCCTATTAAAGATGTTCTGCCTGTCTCTCTTGTAACTTTCATATATTTTTCTTTCTGGGCTTTGGATTTCTTCTATTTGTTTATCCTCATCTAAATTTATATCTGTCTAGTTAGTTTAAATACAAAAGCAGTATAACATGCAGCAACTGCACTCCATCCTACCACATTGCTTAGACAATGTACCATCACTTCATAAATGTTATTTATTGTTTCTCGCACTATTAAGCTCTGAATTCCTTATGTTTACCTAATTCATATTACAGTAATGGAATGCATTGATGTCGTGAAAATGTGTTTATACATGTGGTACAAAAATTCTTTTTTAATGTTGGAATTTAGGTTGTAGGTCAAGTACAGCATTAAAACTAGTTAGATTATTCATGTTCTCTTGAACATGATTGTCAGTGGCTTTACATCCACATTGCCAATTACTGCTAGCTGTACTGGAAGACTGTGAAGGAATGATGCCCAGGACTCAACCTCAGGTCTCTCTCACCTTCCAACATGAGCATGCTTGGGTGCTAACTGCTAAACCACAAGGTGCTTTGCATTACCTTTTTTCATGGTGGTGCACTTGCTTGACATTCCATAACTACAGTAGTAGAAATCTTTGAACTTGTTGCATCATGAATTAATAAGTCTTGTAAACTATTATTGACTACAAATTAAATAGGTTGAATGTATGTATGTAGTGGAAATTGTTCGGTGTGTATAGTTCCTTTGGTCATGGTGGTGCAGTTACTTTGATTTATTTTCATTACAATAAAAATAGGGCAGGGGTTGTGAATGATTTGTGTGACACTCGGTGAGTTGAGGCCAGCCCTAGTGGGTGTTGCTTGCGTGGACCTTGATCAGTCCAACAGTTCCTTATCCCCAATGATGGTGTACTTTACCATATATGGCCACATGTCATGGGTGGTAATAGTTACTCATTGTTTTTACATTATTAAAATGCAAAGATTATTATTAATGTCTATATTTGTAACTAAAATAGTTACTAAATCAAATAAATACAAATAAAATAGTCTGTAATGTATGAGCCTGGTTATTTGAATCCCTCTGAACAGAATATTTGAGTTATCTGGGGAAAATCTCATCCAGATGAGATCCAGACAACTGGAGATTAGGTTGCATAAATTTTCCAGAACTACACATTTAGAGATCTACAGTTTCAAACAAGATGACGAACTACACTAAAATAAGGTGAAGTTTGTTTTGATTACATTTTCTACCTAGTGTGCGTGTTGTGTGCACGTCTGTGTGTACTTGGCTTGTTGTGCTTGCGGGGGTTGAGCTTTGGCTCTTTGGTCCTGCCTCTCAACCGTCAATCTACTTTGTGTAGATTCAAATTATGTTGGTTGTGGTACAAAAACTTGCGAATATTGTCAACATATTGCAATATTTGTTCATGACAATGGCAGTCTCCGTGGTGTAGTGGTAAGACACTCGCCTGGCGTTCCGCGAGCGCTATGTCATGGGTTCGTATCCTGGCCGGGGAGGATTTACTGGGCGCAATTCCTTAACTGTAGCCTCTGTTTAACGCAACAGTAAAATGTGTACTTGGATGAAAAAAAGATTCTTCGCGGCAGGGCATCGTATTCCAGGGACCATAGGATTAAGGACTTGCCCGAAACGCTACGCGTACTAGTGGCTGTACAAGAATGTAACAACTCTTGTATATATCTCAAAAAAAAAAAAAAAAAAAAAATGGCACTATGGACATGATGTAAAATCTCTACCAACAAATACTTAATGTACAAAAACTGTGCCTTTGATCTTACTGTGCGTGTTTTTCTGTGTCTTCAATATGGTTCCCTGCAGTACTGTATTAAAGTTCATTCTCGACTCACAATTAGGAATTCTGGGTTAGAATCCTGGATAAGACAGAAATGGTTGGGCACATTCTCTATTGCCAAATGCTCCCGTTCACTTAATAGTAAATAGGTACCCATTGAATTAGTCAGCATGAGTAGGATTGCGTCCTGGGGAGGATCAGTAGTTCGATCTTGAGGGTGGGGGCCTTGATATAAGCCTAACATGTGTATAACCTGTCCCCCCAACACACAGAATTATACTTTTTCTATTTTTATATTTACAATACTTTCTATATACTCTCTAAAATAGATTTCCTTAATATTTACAATACTTTCTGTAAATCTACAATGCTCTATTCTCAGTTCTTTGGTTTTCAAAATACAAGTCAGACTGACTGTTGGCAGTATTTCACTGGTTAAAAGGTTAAGATTTGTCTAATTGCTCTTAGGTTGCCAGGCACAGTTTTTAACTAGTATTGTTCCTTTGACATAGATGTCCATGCTGCTTTTAACGTGTGCATTACACTGCTCCTTTTTAAATACAAGCAAATGATGTGTATTGTTGCCATTAACAGTAGAGTAGCAGTAGTTAATATTGAGTGGTGTAACTTTGCAGAATGCTTTAACCTCATTGAAGGAAGGAGTGTACAGTGGTACGAAGGAGACCAAGTCATCAGAGACACAGACGCAACAGGTAGGTTATCATTGGGGAGAAAAATACTACTCTACTTAAGTGTTAGTTTAATTTTCATTTAATTTTTTCTTTTCACAGAATATTTGTGTGAAAATATTGAAGCTGTATGATGGGACTGAACCCACATACCTGAGCTCCCGAGTTCAGAGATGCTGGTTTGATTCCATTGTTTGACTTCAATATTTTCTGAGATGTGTAACATAAGTACAGTAATTTCATTATGCACTGGGTTATTGGCATTTATACAAGTCAGTATTTGACTCATTGCCCTCTTGGCCATGTTTGAAGCTACTGTATGACTCGAAGTGTGCTTCATTCACTGTCTGTATTGTAAACACTCCCTAAATCAACGCAACCAAAATGCTGTGCCTAACTTTGTATATATATAATTAGTTTATAGTAGTGTATAGTCGACCTGTTCATCTTAGTCCAGTCTCGAGCAAATGTAGTTGCGAAGTTTATGATCTTACAGAAATACGAGACTGCCAGCGTACAAGCATCATGATGTGGGGTAGTACATCGTGATGATGATGATGATGTAACTCCGTATCCAACTGAACATTAACAATCCCAACAAATTTATGGTGGATAGGCCACTGAATATTTTATCATCCCATTCAGACACCTAACCTTTCATTCCCTGCATTTCCACCTCGCACTTTTCCCTCCCCTCCTTACCAAATCCTTTGGTCAACAAATTCATAAATATCTAAAATAAAATCGGACGATTCATCTTGAATACCGTCAAGACTTGGTCTTGGTCAAGCCGAGTTGTTGGCATTGATGACCAATCATCATCTGTGTTTTAGATATAAATTATTTCATGAATAGTTTTTTTTTACTCATTAATAGTATTTAATAATTTTTAGAAGTACTTTCTTGTTACTGTTGATGAAGTTCATATTTTGAAAAACTAGCATAATGGCACATTATAAAATAAAGATATTTATTTATGAAGAGAGCCACAGTAATGTGGCTGAAGACAAATAACCCAACCCACACATGGAATGGAAGTGACAACATTGTAGTCCATCCTTTTCACTCTATGCCCCTGTTACCTAGCAGTAAAATAGGTACCTGGGTGTTAGTCAGCTGTCACGGGCTGCTTCCTGGGGGTGGAGACCTGGTCGAGGACCGGGCCGCAGGGACACTAAAGCCCTGAAATCATCTCAAGGTAACCTCAAGAAGATCCTGAGATTTAATATGGGTCCAGGATAGACTGAAAGATCATCGTTTGCATTTCATTTTGTATGTGTGGGTTGGATTTATATTCATTAATATTAAAAATTTGTGTTAATGTCGAGCAATTTTTAAAATGTACCTTTCACATGCTGTTTTTTCTCAGGTATTTTCAAGCAAGAATGAATCTTTGGCTGAAGAAACCAGTAGGTCTCCCAATGGTTTCTATTCACCATCACAACCTTCACAAATATCAAAATTGGAAAATGAAGTGAGTCACTTTTGTCAATTTAATTATCAGTACTGTAAGTTTTCTGTCTTGGTTTTTAAATAGAAATGTGCTTTGTGCTGATAATTCCATTTTGAGCATTATAAGAATGAGAGAGATTCTGGAGTAATGTTTGGGAAAAACACGGAGTTGAGCTTCACATCTTGTGTATGATGATAATTGTTGACCCATCTAGAAATGGTTTTTTATCAAGTTTTCTGTTACTCTGTGAGCCAGAGCCTAGGAACACCCAAAGACAAAAGCTTCCCATCTGGCTGTTGTCATCGATCTGTGTCCATCAATGATGAGAAACTTTTCAGGTGGTCTTTGTACCTAGTTGGGGGGGGGGGGGGGGGAGATTGGGAAGATAAAGCTCAGGCCTTCTCCAGAAGACTGCTCAGGGTGACACCAAAACAAGGGAGACTTTACATTTGAACTTCCTCCTCCTCATTTGCATTTCATAACAGTTGAACTTAATTTATTCCCAGGAGTCAGTCAAGTGTAGATTGCCAGGGTAACACCTGACCCTGTGTTCAAATGAACATTTGTTTGTTGTGCTTGCTTTGCACTATTTTCATTAAGTAAAGAACTATCAGTGTAGCCTGTTGTTCTCACATTCATATCTCCATGCTAGTTCAAATTTAAATAGCCTTTGTAGCTTGCTTGCAATTGTTGCTTAGCCCTGATTACGCTGCCCCATTTTCCTATCTATGTATAGCTGGCGGAGAAAAGCGTGCTCCTACGAGAACTTCAGAGTCATCTGGCTGCATCTCGACAAGAATTGCACCTCAAAGATGAAACTCTTCAAAAGGTATTGTTGAGATTCTTATAACTTTGTTAATTGTACCAATTTGTATAGTCTAGTATGTTTGTATAGTATAGTAAATTTATATACTAGACAGTGTAAAGGCTGTAACTAAACTTTTGTAATTACAGTACTCGCCAATGCATGCCATTTATTATTTAACCTAACAGTTGGAGCTAAAGCTAGACTCGTCACGTCGTGAAGGATGTCAGAAAGGAGAACGTATGCAGTACTTAACTGGCCAGCTCACCAGCCTTCAGTTGGAAGTTGGTCGGACTCATGGTCAAGCCGAGCAGCTTCGTAGACAGGTAAAGAATCTTGATCGTGCACAATTCCCAGATCACTGTTCCTGAAATACTGTAACAGTATCTTGAATGCACAAAGAAATCACATTAATGTGATGTATTAATGAGAAAATCAGTAGAAACCATGATGAGGATTTGCCTGAATTTCACCTTAATGTTATAGATATAGCACATATATAAATCTTTAATTCTTTGTTCCTTATGGGACCATTTGGAATGAAATAAGTCTAGATCAATAGAGCAGCCTAAATATTGTCAGATACTTAGACTGTGTTATAACTGAATAATACAATTATTGTCATTAACATAATGCAAGAAGGCTACTTCAAAAATGTTTAAGGTAGGGAAATTATCAGGAGAAATCATAAATACAAAATTTTGTAATACTGTATAGCACTTGGGTATATATATAAGGACAGGATAGGAGCCTTCATGACTAGTAGCACTTGGATGGAATAGGAGCTGGACTACAACAGATTGTGAAGGAACAGTGCCCAATCACCTTGACTATTGTTGATTGGCTAAGGCCATTAAAGTCATACCAATTGCATGTGTGTGTGTACTCTGTTGCAGAATTTCAAAATCAAACATTTTATTTTGAATCCAGGTTGAGAAGAAAACAGAATTGATAGAGAAGATGGAATCTGAAAATTCTTCCCTTACACATCAACTGAATGAAAAGTCTGCCACGCTGGAAAGATTTCAAACTGAGCTTCTCAAAACATCAACAGATCTGGAAAGAAAAAGGAAGGAGGTATTATATATTTGAAACTAATGTTTTCTACTTATGAATTGGTGTATTGGTTATGCACACCTGCCTATATCTAAAAATTTGTCTGGGTATTTTCTCACCTTAAGGGGATGCCCCTTACACAAATTTGTTTTGTGCCTTTAATTTGTTTGTAATATTAATCAAAGAGTACTTGAAAGCTGTGCCAAATAATTCCACAGGTTGACTTGGCCATCATTTAAACTAGTACATACTTGCTGGAACCAAAGAAGGGTGTGAGGTGAATGAGAATGCATTCTCATTCTTCAGCAAGCATGTACAAATGAGGAAATATGAAGTAAACTGGGAGAATTGATAAATCAGTATACAATATTGTATATTGACAAATCATTGTTGAGAGTATAATGTGGTGGACTGGCAGGTGGTGCTGTAGCTTGGGTAGTGTGGCAGGGTGCTGCTGCAGTGTCACCAAAATTTGGCATTTTGAACCTTAACCTGTTCTTTTAAGTTGAATAATGATACAATTTTTCACTTTAGTTCTAGACTCAATTTATTTTAATATCACTACCATATAAAGCTGTGATTATATATTGTGTTCTTCTTGATTGGTAGGTGTCTGAGCAGAAGATGATGATCAGGACACTCCAGGAGGCACTGGTGGCCAGTAAACGATCGTGTGACGAGCTCCGATCCCGCCTTGACAGTGACGTGAGTCGTGGCATGTTGCATCATAGCCTCCCGCTACAGATGTGTGATAGTAGCAATAACCCTCTTGCCAGCAACCCCAGTGTGACTAAAAGCATCCCAGTGGAGAGTTCAATTCCACCATCTGCAAGTGAATTGACAAGTGCATGTGTGAATGACACTAGTTCTAATGTAAATTTTCACTTTCCTCCTACTCCTGTGAGTGACGATAGCTGTATGCTAGGAATTCCGCATATTGGAAGCTCTATTTCACATTCTAGAACTTGGCAGCATAGTGCTTTGCCACCTGTAGACAGATGCAATTGTGACTCGGAAAATGGGTTACCAGATAGCAAATCTAATTATAAATGTGCCAACAAAGTTGTTATTCAAAATGCCTCATGTGCCATAACCCCAGACGTGTTGTCATCTTGCAGCGGTAACTATCTTATAATGAACTCGACGTCACGACAGGACAGTCAGGTTTCGTGCAGTATTTCCAGTGAGGTCTCCAAGACAATTAGTGGTCAAAGTTCCTGTGGCACCATAAATGGTGCCAACAGTGTGGTTGGGGTCGAGGGATTTTCTAATCGTGCTCAGACAGGTCAAGTGTATGATGTATAGATATGTCTTGCAATGCACAAACCTCAGGTCAAATAAGAACTCTTGCCATCTTATTGATTTAGTAAGGTCCAGAAACTAAGTACATTGCAGTGTCTGCATATTTTTACAAATTTTGTTAAAATATGAAAAGAATGCTGTGGGCTGTTAGAGAAGGTTGTAAATTTGTTAAAAAAAAAAAAAAAAAAAAAAAAAAAAAAAAAAAAACATACATGCGAACAAGCCTGAATGGTCCCCAGGACAATATGCAACTGACTTCTTCTTCGTCACTTCTAGGGTGTGAGTTTTCAGTTACATACATACATATATGCGGGACCAAAGAGCCAAAGCTCAACCCCTGCAAGCACAACTAGGTGAGTACACATATACAGTCACACACATACATATATATGATACGATCACTACTTACAATATAGTAACAGGAATCTATCAAATTGACAGAAGTATTTTTGAAAATTGCAACTTCAAGAACAAGATAGCATAGCTTCAAATTAAGGAAACAAAGCTGCTCCCCCTCCCCCCCCCCCCAAAAAAAAAAAAAAATTGATAGTTCATTTTTTAAAACAGTGGTAGATGATTGGAACAAGTTAAGTGAGATGATGATGGAGGGAAAAACTGTCAGTAGTTTCACAGCGTTGTATGACAAGAGTCCTGGGAAAACAGGATACCACAAATATAGCTCTCATCCTGTAACTAATTGTAGGTAAGTAATTAATTATCAAAAGAAGGCACCAAGCAATTACATTTAGGTAATTACACATGCATGCACACAAATAGTAGTAGGCATCCATCAGTCTCGGGAGACTATGGAGTTGCGCTCTCGTTGTCTGTCTGGAGTGGCCTCTCCAAACATATAAATACGTACATATATATACACACACAAATATATAATTATTTATAAAATACATAAATAGGCCTTTTTACAGTATAAATATGTACGGTAATATACAATTACATTATAAATTGGTTGTGATATGAGATCCATCAGCAAAAGCAATATGGATATAGTCGTATGTAAATTCTGGTTATATTTGTGTGCCAATGATAAGTACCTTGTGTTGCAATATTGTCTTGTTTTACTTCTAGTCATAACATGCTGTTATCTTGTTGACTCTTGCATAGACACCCTATGACTAGAGTGGTAGTTACTTAAATTATCAAACACTATTGTAAGTATGTTATTCTTAGAGTACACTAGAGCCTCTTAATGATAAAGTACAAATGATCTGAACAGTAAGTATCATTTGGATAACTATTTCCAGGTTATCTAGGTAATAAGAATGATTGTGACAAGTTTATCTTGACCAAATTATGTTTGTTTACATATGTAAACAGACGCTGTTAATTTAATTAATAATAATTTGCAGTTGTGGGCAGGTGTCATTGGTCACAATTGCATTCTCCGCTTGTTTTGCTTGTGGCTTCATTTACTTTGAAATGAGTCGTGATCATTTTCTAGACCAACAAGTGAAGAATACTTAAAATTAGTTTTTCATGATAGTTTATTAATTAATTATAAGTACACATTTGATATATTTTCTGAAAGATCATTGTTGGCTACATCTAGTAATGATTTACTATATTCATGTTTTAAGTATTTTGAGGTTCTATTGTATTTAAAGCATAATTTGCTTTTATTCATGTTATTGATGTAAATATTCCCAACAAGATTATCAGCCAAGCTTAACTGACAAATCTATATTTTGCTCATTGTATATTAACGGCTGTAATTTATTTGGTTTCTTTAAATGTATCGACTCCAGATGCCATAAAAACCTGCCATGTCGATATGAGGCTTCTGATGTGAACTACATAAATGTCAATTATTTTGCTATACTGTACTGTACAGTATTTTGAAGACTATTTAATATTTTGAAAATGGTGTAATGAGTTGTTTAGTCTTATTTATTTTCAAATTACTTGTACAATTCTGACGAAGTAATGAAGAGTATTTTGCCTGCAGTGCCGTCAGTAGTCATAATAAATGAGTGCGGGCGGAGATTATTTTTCTGTATCCTAGATGTAATTTCTTTCTTTTAAATTCTTCTAGTTATCAGAATATAACTTGTATTTCAATTTTATTTTTTGCCTGTGAGTGAACATTTTCTGCAAATTAACATTGTTTTCCAATTGTTGGAAATTTGGCTTGATTGCAAATTACTATGCATTTCTGTGTAAATTTGTGCACTTAAATTTTGTTTAATGTGAATGCAGATAAACCGATGAAGCAAAACCCTAACATGTACAGTGTTAGCTATACAAGTTTGATGAGCTTGTGCTGCTAATCCGTATACTTACTGGAGCATATTTCAATTTATTTAAATAATCAAACAAAATATTGAACTAAAAATATTTAATACCACAGATCTCGAGTATTATTTGTTGGCCATTAAAGAGTAATAGTTTTTCTTGCATGTTTGGCATCTATGAAATGGTTTTCCAATGGGATTAGCCACTTTTAGGAACTTCAGAGATCTTAATAACAGCTACTCAGAATATTGCATTTAAAACATTGGAGGACCCTGCAAGCTGGTTTGATCAGTGCGATTATTTTTTAACTGCTCAAACTGCACTTCCTTCAAGGGTGTAAAGTGAGAAACATTTTCTTGTCAATTCATTAAACTAGTTTTTAAGTGCGAAGAGCATTTAATAATTGGCTTAATGCTAGTTCGATATCGTGTTAGTAAATGTTTGAAATGTGCTCCAAAAGAAAACATGCTGAATTCAGAACTTTTATCTCTTCGTGCCTTGGATTTCGTGCTGTCGATACCTCCACCTCAGGGATTTGAGCTCTGTGCCGATATTTATAAGCTGCAACATCAGGTGAGCACAGTTATTCATTACTTTTTCAATTAATGAACAGAATACATTTTTTGCAACTTTATCTTGGTCTTTATATGAGAATCACCACAAAGGTCAGGAAACGTTCCAGGCTGCAACACCTAATTACTTTTTCACAGTACACATCAGTACACATCCTCCAATCATAAAATAATCATCTTGATCCTGAGCCTTGATACATCACGGACAGTAGACATTCTCGAGATTCCTTCATCGAAATTAACTTTGTTGCAAGTTACATTGTTTGATTCTTTGACATTTTTCTTAGCATTACTTTGTATCCTCACTCTGCCTTTATGTATGATACTTTGGTCTCTCTTTTTTTTTTTTTTTTTTTTTTTTTTTTTATATATATATATATAATTTTTGGGGCATCCCATTAAGGACTTGGTTCATAAGTAAATTGTCATATTTCTTATAACTTGGGACCAATTCTTAATCAAAATGAGAATCATTGTATTTCCATTCTAAAAGTAATATAATATTGTGCTATTTAGGATTTCTGGGTTTAAACGAGAACAATATAAAATGTTTGATATAAAAAGAGGAAATACTAAAGAGTGAAGACATAAAATCATAGAATATGCACCATGTTATATATCATTACGTTAATATAACTGCAGAGGCTAGAATTTGAGGAAAAGCCAGAAGACTTTAACCTAACCTAACCATTGTATATCATACATACCCTAGACACTATTATCATAGCTAACCTAGACATTATACTTAACCTTGCCTAGCATAAACTTTAATTTTATTCATCATAGGTTGAATTTGTCATATGTCTTATACACTGTGCATTATAATGTGTGTTCCTTTTTTGTGCTGAATAAATATACAGTAAATGGACGGTTCTTCAGGTGACGGTCCGTGAGTCCCGAGCTGAGAGGCTGGAGAGGGAACTGAAGGACACGCAGTCTCTCCATCACCACGCATTCACCCAGGTCAGTGAGAGGGAGGGAGGGAGGGAGGGAAAGGGATGAAGGATGTGGGGGACCAGGTGAGGAAGGTAGGGAGGGATGAAGGGAAAGGCAAGCCATTGAGACCAAGTAAGGTCAACCGGAGACCGTTAAGGAATTGTGTGGATCTGCTGGCTTTGCCTCTCTTACGCTTCTACTAATTGTGCCTAGCTCAAAAAATTTGTGGTCCATGTGAAGGCAGCTGCAGTAGTTCCAGTCCACAAAATGAAGATTCATTTAGTGGTCAGCTTTCAATTAATGCAAAAATTGCTACAACTGCTTATTCACCATCCTCAGGTACTGTGTTGTCAACAATGTGGTCTTAGGAATGGTTGTTCAGCTGCTGCTCATGTTAAACCTCTCCATTAAGTGACTTCAGTCACTGAATGACTGAGATCAGCTGTCTTGTTGCACTGGACATTGCAGGTGCCTTTGACCAGGTATAGCACCTTGGTCTACTAGCAAAAGTTTCAAACATTGTGTATATTAGGTTTCAACCTCTCATTTAAGGCTTCAGTTAAGTAGTGTGTGTCTTCATGAATGGACTCAGTGTGGTCCTCAATAAGTTCTCGTAGAATCGTTTATAAGTGGAACAGATTATGACAGGCTTTTCTGATTTTGTAGACCAAACAAGAGCCATGATGGAAATAGAGGGTACTTGAGTTTAAGCTAAATTTCTCTGCCAGTAAGGACATTTATTAGTGAGGTCCTTTGTAAAGTTTCTACTATTAAATTATAATTATGGATCGGGAACCATTTGTGATCCTCCAAGCATAAATCCTGGATACAGATTTAGCATATACTGTACCTAGTTTCCAAAACCCATTTTCATCACTGGTTAGATGATACATTCCACACTCGCTGGCTGCCTCTTCTATATCTTCCCGTCTCGGTAACTTCTAGTGTCGGCATGAACTATCAGGCCTGCAGATGTTTGAATACCATTTGCCCCAACACAGTAAACAACTTATTCTCAGGCCAGGCTTGTTAAAGCAGTGGCCATCTCCCAAATTATTTATATGTGCAAGCATTCTTACATTCTTGTAAAGTAAATAGCATGCACAGTGTTTTGGGCAGGTCCTTAATCTTATTTTTCCCTGGAATATGACCCACCAAATCGTTTAACAGCCAGGTACCAATTCACTGCTGAGTAAACAGAAACTTAGTTATGGATTGGCACCTAGTCAATCCTTCCCGGGCCAGGATATGAAACCAGGCTAAATCGCTCGTGAAGCGTGGGGGGGGGGGGGGTTGTTCCACTGTGCCTTGGGACTGTTATAGTTAAATGGATAGTTAGGAGAAGGTTAGGTTAGATGTTTAGGTTCTGTTGGTGATTATTTGTGTTTGTAGTATGTGAATGAAGCATTTACAGATTTGCGATTTAAGCACAGGACGCCAGCAAATAAGAAAGAAGGCACCAAACCGGGAAGGCTATGTAGCACCATCAAAGTGCAAAATAATCAGAGGGAGCTAAATATCACCAAGGATGCCAATACGAGAACAGAAAAGCATAAGGCGAATGATATCAAAAGTACATATCCGATTCACCAAAATTCTATAGAGGGACAGGTGACCGCGAGGGACGGTCGGAAAGCAAGACACACGTTCGTCCTGGAAGTCAGGACATTCAACAAGGATGTGCATGACCGTAAGAGGGACAATAAGGAGCAGGGAGGCGCTCCACTAAGTGACCGTGAGTTAAACGGGTATGGCCAATACGTAACCTACCCAGAGCAGTTTCCCACCGCCGGTTACGGTGGTAGGATGTCAGCAAAGCATTGCTTGAGAAAAGTACATACATCATCAGTAGAGATGTGTGTACCCGTTTTTCATTCATAAAAAGCTTCATAATCCAGCCGCCAATGAATGAATTGGTGGCTGGATTAACAAGCATTTCTTGGCCTTTGTTGATGCGGGTGAGCTGTAGTACAAGGTATTGTTTATCATAGACGTCTTTCCAAGAGTTCAACTTGCCAAGTCTCCAGACATGCACTTACAACATTAAGCCCAGAGACCTTAAGGGTGAATTGTTCAATTAGCAGCTCAGCGGCAATCCATGTCTGAGTGATCTGGGATAATGAGGATATGTATAATAAATAAGGCTAACTCCATTTATAGATTTCTCGATAGAAATACACTTGTCAGTCGAGATTGGGGGTAGAGTCGGAACCAGGAGCTGAGGGTCAACTCTCGCAAGTATAGCCAAGGAAGTGGACACACCAATAAACCACCACCCTCCAGGAGGAACAATTTCTTAAATACTGTATGTATATCTTGTCCGTCAGCTTGTGGAGAGCGGTGGGCGAGTTGAGGTTCTGCAGGAGGAGAACCGAGCCCTCAGCCGGCGTGTGACAGCCCTCCAGCAGGACCTTGCACATGCCCACAAGCAGGAGGCACGCCAGACCACCTACTGGAAAGGGCGGGCAGAGGACGTGACCCACAAGCTCTCTCTCTCACAGAAGGAGGTAGGTTCCTGAGATATATGTACCCTATACAGATAGTGTAATAGTCTGGGAGTGGCCTACGAGCTGATGTGGTAGCATCAGTAGCCTGGGAGTGGCCTCGGTCCACAAAACAGTATCGGATGTTGCACAGGATGAGGGGGATTAAAGAGAGGGGGCCACCGACAGACCTCAGGAGATCCTCGACACACTTCCCTAGTCCTGCAGGAGGAGACACAGATACACATGCGGGAGACATGGACACACAAATGCACATGAGGGGGGGGGGTCACCCAGGGATACACATTGGACACAAGGAGACAGACATCTTTGTGAACCACAGATCTGACCTCATCCACTTGAAATATTTTGACCATGGACCTGAATGAGTTGGCCCAGCTGTGACCTCGTCTCTACTGCAGGTGCAGACTCTAGAGGAGGAACTGGCTGCAGCAGCGGAGGCCCGAGTGGACGCTGACAAGCAGGTGGAGGAGATGCAGAAGAGAATCCTTCAACAGCAACAGCGGCTATCTCCACATGAGGTGAGTGTGGAGAGGGACGAAGGAGGAATTTGCGGGGAATAGGAGGAGGAACAAGGGTAATGGGGGGAGAAAAATAGGAGGTACTAAAGGTGGAGGAACATTAAATGCTAACATTTGAACAAGGTATATAAACAGTCATCTAGCCAACACCTGTTGATGCGAGTATTCTAGCTGTGACACCACCGGCAGACAAGCGAGAGTGTGGAGAGGCTCGGGGAGCAGCTAGAAGAAGCGGTGGCAGCCTTGACGGAGGCCAGGGAGGAGGCCCGGAGGAAAGGCGAGCAGCTGCGGCGAGCCAGACAGGACGCCGATCAGCTCTCCGATGCCCTGGGCTACGAGAAGGACCTCAACACCACCCTGCATGACCAGGAAAGTATACCCCTCTTACACCTGATAAACTAGCCCCAGGGCTTCCTTGGATTCCAACTCGGTACCCCCCTCCTCCAGGGGTTACCTTGGCATTCCACTAGGTCCCCCAGAGGCTGTCTTGTACTAATTGCACCCAATCTTTTCAATAGGGCTGTTTTGCATTTTGTGCCATGCCTCATGGAATTATTTTTGTGTGAAGCTTTGTAACCAGTTTATCAAAGTTCCCATGTAGATTATTATGTATTTCCCTTATATGTTGATAGCTCTAAGACCTGATAAAATATAGATCTGGTAAAGGTTTTGTAGAACTCCCAAAACCTGGTCAGTCTCCATGAACTAAGTAATTATCAAAAGAAGGCACCAAGCCGGGAAAGCTATGTACCACCATCAAATGTGCAGAATAGTCATAGGGCACTAAATATCACTGACGATGCCAATACGAGAACAAAAACGCATAAGGCGAACGATATCAAAGGTATCCGATTCACGAAGAATAATATCGAGGGACGGTCAGGAAGCAAGACAGATGTTCGTTCTGGAAGTCAGGACATTCAACAAGAATATACACGACCGTAAGAGGGACAATGCAGTTTGCACAATAAGGAGCAGGGCGGCGTTCCATTAAGTGTCCACGAGTTAAACGTGTATGGCCATTACATAACCTCGCCAGAGCAGTTTCCCACCCACAGTGGTAGGAGGAAGGCCACAGGGACACACTACTCTTAAGAGCATGCAGTTTGTTACCAGTAACAGAAGATCTACAACCCTGCTAATGGGCAAGGATGGAGGAATGATTAACTGGGTAAAAGTCAGAATAAGGAATACCTTTGCGGGAGATGGGACAAGTGAGGATAGCCTCCTTAGCGACAGCATCCACACGCTCATTTAAGGGGACACCAATATGGCTGGGAGCCCAGAAAAATTCCACTGTCTTAAATCTACTGGAGATAAGAAACTGCTAATGTTGAATCTCGACTACCACAGGATGAACTGGATTAAAGAACTTTAAAGCCATGAGGGCACCGAGTCAACTATAACAACAAAAGAGGATGTGTCGGCAGAGGGAACGACGCCGAGCACCCCCTAGTAAGATGGTGGAATAAAATAAAAGGTGCAGTGGTCACAATGAGAGGAGTTGCTCTAGGTGATGAAGTGGTCAACACTTGGGGCTTGGTGCTCAACCCCGCCACACAAAGGTGGGAGGGGAGCAGAGAGGGGTAGTCAGGCGGGTCAATGAAGCAGCTTGGTCTGGGCCCAATTTAGCAGTGGCTACAGAGCCCAGTCTTCCATCATAGTCTGCCTCGGGGTCTGGTCGCCCACCCCACGAGCCTGGGTGAGGGGTCAGTTCAGTTTCCATATAGCATCAACTCTAAAAGTTTGGGGCCTGGAGCCAAGGGATACCACCTACAGGGCAGCAAGGGAGGCAGAGTGCTGGCTAATGCAGGAAGGAGGTGCAACATCCCCAGCAGTGTTTCCCCTTTTTAACAGGAGAGTCCTACGGCCTTGTCCATTCTCCCACACTGATGTAAAGATCCCAGACTCCCTTTTGCCCCAGCCTGGACACCCAGCCATCCACTTAGGGCAGCCCCTCACAGGTGACCCCTCCAGCAGATGGTCCGTTGACTCTCAAGGCCCCTACATTTATGCCCTCCACATGTACAACTTTCAAAGAGGGGCAGGAAAGGGGGCGAAGGCAACCCTCACAGGTCCCAGGGAGGTGTATGCGAGCCCCCCTCACCACGAAAAGGAGGCACTCTGGAGGGGGTAGCAGTATAATAGGTACCCGAGAGTTGGGCATCTGTTGTGGGCTGTTTCCTGGGGAAAGTCAGTAGTTAACTTCATTTTGTACCCTCTGGTGCAAAACGCCTCACTCTTAAAGATTATATAAAAAATGCTGATTTGGCTCACATTTGTCCTCAAAATTTATTGACAAGCAATGGAGTTAATTTCCCAGAACTTAAAGCAGTGGCCAGGATACAAATGGAAGTGTGCGACAAGTGCCCTTGTACTTGCAATCAGATGGGTTGGTAGGGAGGAGGTAGAGTAATTATGAGAAAGCACCAAGTTAGTATAACTATATAGCACTTGCAAACAACATATCGACAAGGATCTAGGGTATGATGGAGTGAAAGCATGGTTCCCAACCACTTGGACCATTGGGATATTATGTTGACCTGCAAAAAGCAAGACTGTCGCTCAACCGACCAGTTAAAGTGGTTAGCAGCATGGAGTGAGAGCAGTGTGTTTTTCTGTGTTGGTAGGTGGAAGGGCTGATGAAGGAGGCCACAATGCAGGAGCACAAGGTTGGAGAGCTGCAGCAGGACCTCAGGAGAGTCACCCGTGACACCCAACACAAGGATACCCAGGTACATTCAACCACTTGTGCTGTGTCCACATTACCTGAGGACTACATGTACGATAATTTTGGCTTTGGGAGGATAATTTCATCTTCCTCAATGTTGCAAAATATACTAAACCTTCATGGTAAAGTTTAAAAAGTCAGTGTCTTGCATAAGTCAGTTTCCCAGTTTCTCCCCTTCATTCATGCTCTCTGTTGTCTGCTCTAGTTGGCATCCCTACAGTCTCAGCTGGAAGGTTTAAAGAATCAGGTGTCCACAATGGAGGACCTACTGGACGAGGAGCAGCGGGAGGTGGCTTCCCTCAGCGACTCCTTGGCGCAGGAGACCAAACACCTCCACGACGCCAGGGCCAGGTGTGACAAGGTAACTTATGACGGCAGAGCCAGGTGTGATAAGATCACTTAATTCTGAAAGATTTGGGCTGTAAGTGACATGACTAATTACTTAAGTACATACTTCTTAGTGTGACATTGGTTGAAGGGATTAGTTAATTACTACCTAGTTTGATGAGGCTAGTTAACTAGCTACAGACATGACTAGGGATAATGAGTTGCTTAACCTCCTCTTGATGTAACTTTGGTTCATGTGGTTACCGAACTAGCTCCTCTAGTGGCTAATTTCATAAGAAATACACTATTGCCATACAAGCAAACTATCCATCACTATAAACAATTACATAATACTATGATTCGCCTGAGGATGAGCAAGCCAGGTACAACATAGCTGCTGGGCTAGTCATGAAATTTTACCCATTTATATTGTGTATTGAATATACTGTAATTACATGTTAATAATAAGTATACAGTAAATCAAATTTTATTATTACTACTGCTATGAGGCATGAGCAAATGCTTGGTGGAAGACTTGCTAACCCTGCTTGAACAGCGCAATTTCTAGCTCTCGTCAGTACTCGTCCTCTTTTAATTGTCACACCCTTGCAGGCGATGAAGGAAGCAGCACGGGCAGAGGAGCAGGTAGCAACACTACAGCGGGAACTGCAAGAAGCGCAGGAGAAGATTTCTCTGCAGGAACGTCGCATCAGGGACATGGTGAGTTAAACATTCCCGGGAGTGTTTGAGACTGCCACATGAGACACCCCTGCTGATTTGTGCTCCAAAGGAAGATTGAAAGGGGTGTTTTTTATTGCTCGGTAAACCAGCAACATGTAGCAAATGAAATTTGAAAGGGGCTTGTTGAATGACAGGAAACTTTGCAGCAAGATATTCCCACGTAAGTTGATTGGTTAATGCTATGTAAATAATAAGTCTAATATTAGTTCTTATTTTGTTTACTAGTATATCCACAGATGGTGTTTAAAGTCTGCTGTTGACTAGATCTTTTGAATTATGATGTCAATGCGTGGGAAATTTTGAATGATCGGTGTCACACGTAACTCATGATGTGCTATTTCTTTGCCAGGAGAGTGAGAAAGAGAGAGAGGTGGCAGCAGTGGGGGAGCGTCTGAGGGTGGCCCATGAAGAGAGTGTGAAGAGGCTGGAGGATGCCCTGCTCACCTATACCCACATGCAAGCCCACGATGAATACCAGGTAGGCTTATGTCTGCCCCCACTATCCCTTTCCAATCTATAAAATCCATGATGACAGTACTGTACTGTATTCTGCTTCAACATATTGGAACACCTACAATATCATTCAGTGTGAGAAGTGCATAGTGACAATTTAATATGCTTGCCTCTATAGATCACGAGCGATTTCATTTAGGTTAAAGATCTGTTCAGGAAGGATTGACTGGACACCAAACTTAACTGTTTGTTCCTGCCCCCCTGTTCATCTAGCAGTAATTGGGACATAGACATTGGGAAAATAGACATAAATGGGGAGGGGGAGGTTACCCCAAAGTTGCTCGGCAGCTCAGGTGATGAGGTCACATCTTCACTACATGCTATCTTCATCACTAACTATTTTCACTACCCAGGGACCCCTTTTAGTATGTGTGTTAAAAAAGAGAAGTCCGAGGCGAGTTACTTTTGTTTATTCAAACGGTAAACAATAAATAATTTAAACTTACTGATTTAAAAAGACTTACATATTTTTAAGTAAACTACATTACTCGTGTTGACCAGACCACACACTAGAAAGTGAAGGGACGACGATGATGGTCCGTCCTGGACCATTCTCAAGTCGATTGTGTACATTATTTGTTTTCACCAACCTTGTTCTTCTACGTGTAAAAAACTAATGAAAAGGTTTTCAGTGAAATGTGTGTGTTTTGTATGGATTGCTTACTAAAATTTGGTTGATAAAACTTGAGAATTATGTGGGGGGGGGGGGATAACCAGTTTATTAATTTGATTTAATAACCTCCAAGTTATTAAATAAGGGAAGTTAAATCTTTTGTTTTGTTATGAACATAAAAAGATTTTGACCCAATTAATAAAAAATAAACAAATTACCTAACACACATGCAAAATGTGAGAGACAAAGTTTTGGTCCATCCTGAGCCCTTATTATGTCATAACTGAGATAAGAGTTTGGGTGGATATAAATAGGAGCTGCCTCGTATGGGCCAATAGGCAAACTGCATTTTCCTTGTGTTCTTACACTCTTATATTGCAGTTTTGGCTTGATAAGTGTCTGAAATACCATCACTTTCCCCTAATTGTTGAAAGTAGCATTGTAGCAGTGGTAGGCCTCTGCGGGCTCTGTGGTAAACCTAAGCTGGCTCGATAATAACACCACCGTCTCTCCCTGCACTGTGACACAGGTGGAGAGTCTGGAGGAGTCGCTGGCAGAGGTCGGGGGGCGGCTGGCAGAGTCTGAGGCGGCGGTGAAGGAGGTGGAAAAGGAGCGGGACTCCTTGGGACAACAGCTGGAGGAGGAGGCTGAGAGGAGGGAGAGCGATGCCAGGGACCATCACACTCATCTTATGAGGCTCACTGAGGAGAACTCTCTCTTGAAGGTGGGGCAGGTGGAGGAGGCGGGTACAGGGAAAAAGAGGGAATGTCTAGGTGGAGGAGGCAGATGCAGGTGGGAAGGAGATACAAATGCAGGGGGGGAGGTGGAGGTGGTGCAGCAGGTGTGTAGAGAAAGGGCAGCAGGAAGGTGTAGATACTGTAGATAAAAAAAAACACTTAATAATTTACAATAATGAATAATAAGTGGTAATAATAATAAAAACACTGCAAGCCTCTTAGTTTGAATTCAACAAGTTTAATCTGTTCTGACTTCAACTTGCAAGATTAATGTCTTGGTCTACAAACTCAAGTAACATTTATCCTCACTCACTCATTCACTGTCTGTCTTTCTGTCCCACCAAGCTAACTGTAGGGTTGGTGGCTGGCACCATAATGATACTTCTTGATATCGGTGCTATACTTATAGCCCATGAGAATGTGTCGCCAAATGAGTGTATGGCAATGTCAAACCTTGATGGAACATGTCAGAATGTGTCATGTCTTGTCAATGCATATCAGAATGTCGGTCTATATCAAATCATGACAAATGTTCAGAACATGTCGGTGCATGAGAGAACACACCAGAGCAGGATGAAGGGAAGGGAGTGGGGGAGGGATAACAGTGTTAGTGTCTTAAATAGCAGTGGTGATAGTAGTAGTAGTGTATTATGGTTGTAGTATTAATGATGTAATAGTAATGATATTAATAGTAGTGATTACCAAGTAATACTACTTGTAATACTAGTAGTAATGGTTGCAATAGTGGTATAATAGTGGCAGTTGCAAGGTTATTATTATAACTTTGGTTCAGTATTTCTCCTGTTCTGGTAAAACTATATAACTTTCCTGCTGACTATGTGATCTGGAAGGGAAAAGCCTTCTGCTTTTGTCCTGATCTCATCTCTCCAGATAAACTACTTAACTAGCAGGGCTTACCTAATAGTAACTACAGGGACGTGAGGTCTAGCTCATCATGTCTTGCCTACTAATTCTTGTCTATAGCAATAATAACCTTGGGTTGCGAAGTTTACAAGCTCATAAACTGTTAAATAAATGCAGACCAAGCTGCTATATTTTAAGAAACTTGCAAAAGTGTCATAAGATGATGCTTATAAATACTTGCTGAATCTACTATATAATAATATAGTATGTATAATAATCTACTACATCATAATAATGTATGGTGTCTGTGACAGACACGGCTGGAGGGTGTGCATGAAGAGACGCAGACGTGGCAGCAGCACTGTGATGACCTGGAGGAGAGGCATTCCCTGGTCCTCACAGATCACAGCCCCCACTACAACTGTCACCTGCACCAAGCCCACCTGGCCAAGGCTTTGCAACAGGTCTTTGGAGCTCTTGATACTGTTATTTAAATGAATATAATGGATAAGAGAAATATAATTCCCACAATATAATATCACAAATATCCTGATCAGACCCCTAGTCAATTCCAACCCACGCCAAAACATAGGCATATTGAACAGTATGGAGGCACTCGAGGGGTAAGGTCACGACTTGCTAACGCAATTTTATCTTTTCTCGTGTAGGTGGTGGCCCTTAAGGAGGCGTTGAAGTCGACGAATTTGGAGAAGAACACAGCAGAGGAGGAGAGGGGCCATGCCCACGAGCAAGTCCTCAGCCTTATCAGGGAATGTAACTCGCTTGAGGAACAGGTTGGTACTGGTTGCTGTCTTAATCCTCTTCACTCAGCCCCCATCCTCTCAGTTTACCACCATCAAAAATATAACCGTTTTGCCATAAGAGAAATGTTCAAACCCAAACATCCCATTTGACCTATCAAAACCCCATGCATAGTAAACATCAATACAGTATTACCCTTCTTTCCCATTAATCCATTGGAATTTGAATGAAATGGTCAGGTGCATACAAAATGCAAAGTATTAAGTGAGGGCAGATTTGTGGGATTTCTAAACTGCTTATAGCTTGTATAGCAGTGACAGGATTTGTGAATACTGTATTGTATTGGTATAGTCGATATGTCAGGATTTGTATATCTTGTTGAAGATAATGACTCCTTAGCTTTGTTTTTCTGATCAAGATAAAGGCTTGATATAATCTGTGCTACACCATTCCCACTCTTCTGTGTACTCACCTAGTTGTGCTTGTGGGGGTTGAGCTCTGGCTCTTTGGTCCCGCCTTATAATTGTTAATTGACTGGTGTACAGATTCCCTAGCCTACTGGGCTTTTATCATATCTACATTTGAAACTGTGTATGAAGTCACCCTCTACCACATCACTGCCTAATGCATTCCATCTGTTAAATACTCTGACACTGAAAAATTTCTTTCTAACGTCCCTGTGGCTCATTTGGGTATTCAGTTTCCACCTGTCCCCCCTTGTTCGCATAACCCCACCCCCCCACTCCTCGTCTTTCCAGTACTTTGTCATCTAACACTTTGAAAGTACAGTGCTGACAGTTTTGTCCTCCACCTTCTCACTTGGCTTGTTCCAAGTGTCTATCGCTGTTTGCAAAAGAAAACTTTCTAATATTTTTTTTTTTGCACCTTTGTTTCCTTAACTTGAATTTGTATCCACTTGTTCATGAAGTTGCTGGTTTCAGGAATTTCTTTATCAGTTTGGTCTACAGTATTTCTGTTAGTGTTCTGTAAGTGGTGATCATATATCTTTTTCTTATAGTTTTGGCATGTTTAATGCTTCTAGTCTCTACTTGTAACTTGTTTTTCAGTTCCAGAAGCCATTTTGTAGTATGCTGTTGCAGCTTTGCTATCTTCTGTGTCTCTCTGTCCCCTTGTCTCACTCATTAACTCACTCACACACCACCACCACACAACTTTGCCAGTTAAATGTAAAATGTCAACCCGACTCGACTTGGCCTCCATCAGATTCACCGTCTGGCTAAGGACAAGTGCCGGCTCCAGGAGCAGGTGTCTAGCCTTGAGGATGAACTTCACAGGGCCAGGGATGATGCCCAGGAAGCCAAGGACCAGCTTGCCATGAAGGTCGAGCAGCTGGTCGCCCTCGAGAGAGAACTCGAGAATGCTAAGGTAGGCTGTCAAAGTCCTCATTTAGAGGATGACCTCAAGCCCAGGCAGTGAGAGGGGGGGGGGGGGCTAGCCCAGCTGGTGGGGGTGAATCTAGCTCAGATGGTGAGGCGAGGCATTTGGGGGGGAGGGCGCGTTGGTGACAAAGCGGGTGGGGGACATGACAAGGGATTACGGTGTCAATTAATATTGTAATTCATTTATAAACATTCTTAGTAAAGGCTAGGAATATAATATACTATATACATTGACTAGGTCAAACAACAATGACCCAAAATGGATAACCATGGCACTAAAGAACCTTATTGGAAAAAAAACTATATACATGCAAATTAAGAAATTAGCTAGCTCACTATCATGCTTTGCAGCTCAGCAAAAAATAATGGTAACGTCTAACAATAAAAAATAGATCCTAAGCAACCCAGCTAACATATAAAGGCTGATGCTCAAAGAACGTCAATATTACAGTGCTTAAATTTGTATCAAAACCCTGTGGTGGTTTTGATGGTTTAGTCATTTACATTCAAAATGTGATTAATTAGATGAGAGGACAGATTGGTAAGCCAGCTTCCAGTATGGTACAGTGTTAGAGGCTTTCTGGCAGTCTAGTAAACTGCAGTTACTGTGTTTAACTTTGCTGCTTGATAATTGCTGTTGTTATATAGAACTGTGGTGGGTTAGTCAGGAAAATGTATTGATGACAATCACACATTAACTGTTACAAAATGTGTTTTGTAAGATGTACAGGCATCTATTAGTAGTACAGGTATCGGATCATAATTAACACACCATGTCCACTTGGATCTACACAGACAGTGGAAGGTGGTGATGCTGGGTGTGGCAGTGGGGGACGTGACGGAGGGTGTGATAAAGAGGAGTCCTGCAGGGAGGTGGTCATGGCCCGCCGGGAGGCATCTGCGGCCAGACGGGCACTGGTGGAGAGAGAAACCCAGGTCAGGATGACTCAACTCAGGGTTACCGCCCTCGAGAGGTCACTGCAGCACCGCCAGCATGAGGTAGGTCATAAAAGAATGGTAAGTTTGAAGGATGTAGGAGAGGTTGTAGTAACCTGGATGTTGTAAATGACATATTTGCTTCTTAAAACATATACTAATACCCTGTTGGATGCTGTAAACTCGTGTCAATATCTGTCAAGCGCGGTACACCAACCCCACACTCACTCATGCTTTGCTAACAGTTACAGGTGATGTGGAACACTTCACTTATTACTAACTTGCCTTTGATAGCGAGATGATATACCAATTAAATTCTTACTATTTGTGCATTATCATTTATTAACACTCTTGACCCTTACACGGCTCCAGTCTCCATATACTTTTTTTTTTTATACATATTTGACTTGTTAATCTTTTTAATTTTCACTATGCACAGCATGATGGACTTTTTCAATAGCTGAGCCATTTAGGGATTAAATAATGCCACCATACACTGAAAAAATGAATAATATCTGGTAGCAGGATCATAGCACGAACAATGTGTCTATGATCCTTATTCCATAAACAAATCCAACCTATCCTATCCTAGCATAATGAAAGTAAGATAAAATTTGTTGTCTCATGCAATATATATATATATATAACATATCACTGTTGTCATAATGCTCATATAGATACATGATTTAGACATAACTAATATAGGGGAGGCGAAGCACTAAATGCCGTTCCCAGGAAGCATGTCGACACAGCTGTCAATCACACAACTCAACACATGGCAGCAAAGGTCACACAAGGTCAGATAATCACAAACTTTGATTGCCTGAATTAGAACAAGAAGTTGCTTCACAATTGAACATTAAAGAATAATTAACTATGCTGTAACATAATCAAGAATGTCTGCACAGCCATATCACTACTGTACACTTACACTGGAGATTTACACACTAAAAGGATGGTGTGTGTAAACTGTTAACATTGGCTCAAAATGTTTAATTAAACAATATGCCATGTTCAATGTCATATATAAACATTTCAAACTGTATATGGAGTCTGTCTCCACCACATCACTTATTAATGCATTCTGTTTAACTACTCTGACATTGAAGAAATTCTTTCAAATGTCTGTGGCATCTGGGTATTCAGCTTCAACCTGTGTTCCCATCTTTGTGCTCCACCCCATGCGAAATACACCAGTGTTCCCTTCTTCATGTTCCATCCGTACTAAGTAGTTTGTCTATATCTACCTGTCAATTAGTCTGAAAATATTGTAGGTGGTAATCATGTCTTCCCCAGACTCTTGTCTTCTAGTGACATGAGGCTTAATTCCAGTAGCCTTTCCTCGCAACTCATACAGATTCGATGTAATGCCAAGCCCCTGTTTTTCTCTACTTGATTCTTGAAGGATTTTATCTCCCAACTGGTACCTTGTGTCTGGCCACCTGCTCCCTACCTCTATATTCAGAACTTTGAGAGGTAAGGGGGGAGGGAGGGGTAAAGCAAGATAAATATGGTATAAAGGGCACTACATCATCAGATCATTGCAGGTAACAGGACTGGAGGAGAAGCTACAGGAGGCAGAGACAGCCACCCAACGCCTGGAGACAGAGGTGGTCCAGCTGCGGGCCCAGGTAACTACACTCAGCACCCAGCTCACCCACGCCCGCAGGCACACAGCCAATTCTCAGCCTCAGGAGGACAAGGTAATGCTGCCTCATTCTGATCATTCTTCCAGCTGGGTAAGGTGTTAGTAAAGTTACATTGATACAGGACATTAATGTGATTTCTATATGCATATACATACTATATTATCTAAGGGATAGTGGCTGGTGTTACCTAGCAGGCACTTAGCTTGGTAGTAACATACCTGTGGTGCCCACAGGTGGACGCCCTTGAAGGAGAGGTTTCACGCTTGACAGGGCAGCTGGCCGCCAAGGAAGAACAGCTGAAGCAGGTACATTGTCTTTCACCTAGGTGATGAGATAGGTTATTGTGTGGTGGTGTCCGTATGTTGCGAGGTGTGGGTGGTGTATGAGGGGGTAGGTGGTGTCCCTGTATTATGTGAGGGGTGGGTGGTGTGGTGTGCTAAACATAATTAATCACCACCTTTCTCCACAGGTATCAGAGCGAGCGAAGCAGGAGACTAAGAAGACTGTGGACCTTCAGCAGGAAGTAACCGCCCTCATCAGATCACGTGATGAAGCCCTTCGTAAGGTAATCTAGCATCGTCTTTCCACAACCATTGTCAGGGCTTTTCAAAGATTGTACAGTTTAAAAAACCGTGGGGTCCATGGTTCGGGGTCTCCTAGAGCCAAGGTGAATGGTATTGTACTGTTTACTACTCCCAACTAGACAACATTCACCGTTTCTCGGAACTAAGGGATTTCTGTATGTCCATGATGATGATTATATTTTTACTACCTCTAGTTCTCTCTACATCCCTAACCATTCCTGGTTTTTCATTTGTTTTAACCATGTCTGCCTTGGGTATATAACCCAGGATGCAGATGAGTGCCAGATGTGCTACAACCCCTGGTGTACCACAGGTGTCAAGCATGGAGGCAACAGTGGGGAACTCACAAGAGACCATGGAGGCCACCAAGCTCATGGAGAAGCTGTGGGAGGCACAGCTGGCCACCATCGAGGAGGAGATGGCTAGGCTGCTTTGTGAGAGTAACCAGCTCAAAGACTGCAATGCTGCCCTTCACCATCAGGTGATGTATATACCACCAGGGAGTCTTTGGTCAGCTGATGTATATACAACTAGGGGGGAAGGGAGTCTACAGCCAGGTGATGTATATACCTCCAAAGGAGGGTCTATGGTTAGCTGATGTACCATACATACCACCAAGGGGGGGGAGTTTAAGGCCAGCTGATGTAAATGTTGTCATTTCCTATATCAATGTCATCATGAAATATTCATTATATAACATAATGACATAATGTCATTAAGAACATATCATGCACTAGTGTGTCTTTTTGAGCCTACTATGCTAGTAGAAAAAAGAGGAATAGATACACAGGATAATAATTAATAAATATATTCAAGTATATACACAAATACTCAATACTGTATATTTTCTGTGGGGAGCCCCTACGGCTCCCTGGAGCTTATCGGGCTAATGTATGTTATGTTAGACCGGGACATTAGCTAAGGAGTTCAGACCTACCAGGGACCAGCGCCAGAACCTGGCCCCTTCAGAGAGGTTTCAGGGAGCAATGGCCCTGGAAAACCCCATATGGTTGGGGGTTTTCCTTATCTGCCATCGACCGGGGTTAGGCACCCAGAAAGGTAGGCGTAACAAAACAAACCCCACATGGTAAGAAACTACAACAAAAACCGAACAGAGAGGTAGAAAACTCCCTACAATCCCAAGGAAACAAGCAAACATCACACTTTACTGCCGCGCCGATCGTCCGCGCAGCCCTCCCCACCCCGGGAGGGGGAGGGGGGAGCCCCGGACCTACCGCGCCGGCTGCCAAGCTCCAGTTCGTTCGCTAATGTCAACCGGGATTGACGCTTCTCTGGCCTCAGTTTCCTAGGCGGTGTTTGCCTTGTGTGGCGTTCACTGCCGTGTGTTGTGGTGTGCGGTGGCCAGGAGTACTTCATCAGTGCCGGGGCTGCATGTGCTTAGTGGCTGACTTCCCTAAGCGCCCTGTGAGTACTGCCCTTGCGTAACAGGGTTATCTTCCCTGGGGCGTTCGGGAACCATTCCCGTAGAGGTTCTTGCTGCTCGGCATTTGCCTCGCCCTTGGGGCCAGCTGGGGCTTGGGGCCCTTGTTTGGCCCTGGGTAGGGATTGGTATTGTGCTGGTTAGGGCGTCAAGGTGTTGCGCAGCCTGCCACCTAAGCGGCGGCCGGTTTCTGTTGCCTCTGGAGACGGTGTACTTTTGCGGGGTTTTTCTTTTGTTTTTCATTTTCTTGCCTGGTGGGGGTCTGCCTAAGATGGTTATAGTTCCACTGGTAGTGTTTGGCGGCCCTCTGCTAGGCCCCCGTGCTTGTACACGTCTCAGGGGTTTTCAGTGCTATAATCTACCCTCTTGTTATGTTTGGGTTTCTTAACCGGTTAGCAACACCTTGCCCGGGCTTCCCGTAGTTGTTACCCTACGGGCCCTGGAAACCCCTGTCTGGGCTCGGGGGACCATTGAATGTGTCTTCCGGGTTCCAACCCGTCTTGAACGGGATCGTTGGTTGCTGTTCCCTTGTCTCCGGGTGACAGTCGCCATTTTTACCTCCGTCATGCTGCCTGTTGGGTCACTGACACCTTGACCCGGAGTCTTGCGAGTGATTCTCTGCTTGTTCTCCAGTACTCTCCTGATGTTATTACTGTTCAGAGTACAGGCGGCATCCGTGTTGCAAGCTAGGTTAGGTTGCTGCAACATGCTAGGTTGGTTTCCCACTCGAATGCCCCGTGGCCGCCCCGTTTGGTTAGGTGCTGCTCGCCCCTTTCTCTCCATGTTCCCGGCTCCGGACCGTCTGCGTGTTTCTGGGTCGGGGCGGGGTTCAGTTGCGGCAGAGACTCGGGCGGTTTTCGGGGGATGCCCCGTTCGGGTTGGGGACGGAGGTTTGAGCCTGTGCCTCCTGCCAAGGCTTCTGGGTCTTACCAGCGGCCCTTTCTTGTTGCCTTTCCCATGGGCTCTTGCTTTTCTTTCAGGGCGGAGGGCTTGGAGGACGGCTCTGCCCCGGGGCCTCTGTTGTTGGTTCCCGGGGCTGTGGGGGTTGCCTGCTAGCAGTTCTGGGGCGGTTTTGCCCCTTCAGGGGTTTTTCTGCTGTTGGGCGTCGTTTTTCGCCCTTCCAGTCTGCTAGCTTCCCACATTTGCTGGCGTGTTTTTGTGTATTAAGCGTCAGTCACAGCCCCTGCTGGCGGCCATTTTCGTCTGCCGGTTTCCCGGCGTGGCCACCAGGGCGGCGTTGCGGTTTGTTTACATGCGTCTGGGTGTGCGAGCGAGCGTCTCTGGTGAGTTTTCAAAAAATGTGCAGGGTTTTTGTTCTCCTGTTGTCGTTTCTTTGTTTTTCTGGTGTTTTCTTGCCGTTGCCTGTTCCTCTGGGAACGTTTGGGTGTTGATTTTGGGTCTGAGCCTCTGGGTTTAGGCTCAGTGCCCCTGGCTGGTATGCTTGCTCCCACACCTTGCCCCTCGGTTTTCGGTCTGTTGGGACCGTTTTCCCAGGGCGTTCTGCTGGGGTCTGTGCTTTGCCTTTTAGTGGTGTTCTCCGCCAGCAAATGTGGTGGTTTGGGCTCCCCCTGGTTCGATTCTGGGTTCCTTTGGGTTCCTTGGTTTCGTTCTGGAGGTTTCTTCCTCTTGGGCCCCCTTTTGTGGGTTCAGGGGACTTTGTTTCCTCGTGTGACCCGGTTCTGCCTTTTGGGGTTCCGGGGTCTTCCTGGCTTGCAGACTGAGCTTTTTGGGTCTTGGCACATGTTGTGGTTGTGCTGGGACTTTGTGGTTTTGCTGTCGAGGTGGGCCTTTTGATGCAGTTTTGTGCCTTCTTTGCCTGGCCGGCGTAGTGCTCTTTGCCACTAGTCGGCGGCTTGTGCTTTTACAATATATGTCCTCACCTAGTTGTGCTTGTGGGGGTTGAGCTCTGGCTCCTTGGTCCTGCCTCTCAACCGTCCGTCAACAGGTGTATCGGTTCCTGTGCCTCTTGGGCTCTGTCATGTCTACATGTGACATTGTATGGGGGTCAGCCTCGTTACTTGTGTGAGGAGTCGCCACATTACTTCTTAGTGCTTTCCCGTTCCCATTCTGACACTCGAAAAAAAAAAAAAAAAAAAAAAAAAAAACTTTAATTCTATCTGTGGCTCTTTTGGGTACTCAGTTTCCACCTGTGTCCCCTAGTGCATGTGCCCCTTATGTTCCATAGCCTGTCCTTCTCAACCCTGTCGATTCCCTTGGGTATCTTGTATGTGGTGATCAGGTCTCCCCTCACTTCCTCTTCCAGCGAAGTGTGGTTTCATTCCCGTAGTCTCTCCTCATGACTTCAGTAGTGTACTTTTTCTTTCTGAAGGGGTTCTGTTCCCTTCTCTGTTGACTGGGCGCTGGGGGAGCAGCTTGCTCTGTTGCCTCTCGCTTGGTCCCGCTGTTGGTGGGCGCTTTGGGTTGTCTTCCGGCCTCTGCTGGCGTCGGAGGACGGCTTCTCCCCCTTGGGGGGGGTTCAGAGCTGGCGGGGTGGGCTTCTTCCCTGCGCTTCGTCATTTCCTCTTCGTGGGTGCGTGGGGCGTGGTCGATCCGCCCCATCCTTCTGGGCTTCCCGTCTGCTCTTTGCAGTCATGAGCTTTTCCAGTCTGCAGTTCTTCTGGACTACTTCCGTCTGCGCCCTGGATCCTCTGCCCTGCTCGGAGGACTGTTGTCTCCTGTTCGGATTCTGTTAGGGCCGGGTGCATGGATGGTGGACCTGGACCTCCAGGTCACTTCTTGGCACGTTCCTCTCCAGTTTTTCTGGGGCTAGCACGGTTGGTAATTACCTATGTGTACTTACCTACGTGTAGTTACGGGATGAGAGCTACTCTCGTGGTGTCCCGTCTTCCCAGCACTCTGTCATATAATGCTTTGGTTATAATTGTCATATTGTCATATAATGATTGTCATATGTCATAATATGTCTTAATATGATTGTCATACAATGCTTTGGTGGTGGGGCTTCAGGTTTGCTGTTTTTATTGCATTCCCTATTTTGTGAAGGGCACTTTGTATACTCTTTGCATCTTTACCGGATCTTAGTGCCCTGTCTGCGTCTGAGATTCGGTGTCTGGCCTACCTCGACGACTGGCTGGAGTGGGCTCCCAGTCAGTCCGCTTGTCTGCTCGCCAGGGGATGGTTCTTTCCAGATCGCTGGGTTTGGTTTCCTGGTGATCTGGAGGTTTTACCTTCTGTTTCCGTCCCGGGTTCGGACCTGGGCCTTGTTTCAGGCTCTTGGGCCCCTCATTGTCTTCCCTCCAGAAGTGTTACTGTGGCTGTGGTCCCGCCTTTGGCTGTTCAGGAGGGGGTCCCGGGTTGCTCAGCGGTTGCTTGGGCGGTTGTGCGGGAGTTTGCACTTCAGCGTGCTTGTCTGCCCGCGGAGTCGGGTTTGGCTCCGGCGTCGGTTGGTTCCTACGGAGACTCCACTTCCGCCTCTTGCATTCCTTGGGTTCCTCTGGGGATCTGGTGTTGGTGCTGCGTCACCAGCTTCCTCTTTGGGGTTTTCGGGGTTCCGTGCCTTGGCAACTCCCCGAGCCTTCGCTCGATGTGTTCACGGACGGGTCGTCTCTCGGCTGGGGCTTTGTGTCCAGTGCTCACCAGGTCGGCCGAGGTTGATGGAGTCTGTCTGTCCGTCGGGCTCACAGCCCGGTTCGGGTGTTCATGGCTGTCTGGTTTGCGCTTCGGAGGGTTTGGGTCACTAGGTACTCTACCATTCAGCTCTGTTTGGACTGTTCTCTGGTGGTTCTTGCCGGAACCACAGGGGGTTTGGTTAACCGTGTGGTTCGTGTCCGGGGTGTGTCCTGCGTCCTGGTGGACAGCTGTCTCGGTTCATTCCTCTTCGTGGGTTGGCCAGTCGTCGCCGATTCGTTTTGTTGGCTCTGTTGGGCTTATGGACTCCGGGCCATGGACGTCTTCGGGTCGGCGTGGTCTAGGCGTCGCCCGTTTTGTGGCGCCCTTCCCACCTGCGAGGACTTCACGGTGGAGGCTTTCGGCAGGCCTGGGCGAGGTGGGGGGTACCTGTACCTCTTCTCCCGGTCCAGCTGTTGCTTCGGGTTCTGGCTCGGTTGCAGCCCATTCCCACGAGAACAGTCCTTATGGTTCCACGGTGGCCGGCCCGGCCTTCTTTTCAGACGCTGCTTGATAGGTGTCCGTACCCGGGGCGTTTTTCCTGAGGCTTCGCCTCTTTCAGCAGGCCGAATCGGTCCTGTCCGTGACTGGTTCGGCCTTCTCTTTGGCTCTTCGCGTCTGGTATTTTGACGCGGGTATCGCCATCTCTATGGTGTTCAGGTGGCTTTGTTGACGGTGTCCCACCTGCGAGCTTCGTCTTGGAGACTGTATGACGTTTATTACGTTTTCTCGCGTTTTGTTTCCCCTCCGGCCTGCTCATGAGTCGCCTGAGCCATCCTGGTCCTTGTTCAGGGTGTCTTCTTCTCTTCCCCTCAGTTTGTGGTAGCCCCTTCGGTTTCAGTTTCCTCCTCTTTGGTACTGGTGGTAGCTTTATTGGTGTGCAGCCTTTCTCTGTCCTGGCGACGGTCGAGACGGCTGCTTTCCGGAGGGGTTCTTGGGGTATTGGTACTTGTTTGGTTTGGCCGGGGGGGGTGCGTCCTGTGTTGTCCAGTTGTGCTTTTTGCTGTTGCCGGCGTACCGTGCCTGGGGATGCACTGTGGTTGATCCGGTTCCTTCGTTCCCTGTTTTCAGGGCTCGGGTCTCCCGGGTCGTCCGCAGTGTTTTCCTTCTTCCTGCGGTCTGTCCATATGTGCGTCTGTTCTTGGGCGTTCTTGTTGCCTTGGGTCGCAGGTTTGCGACCGGTTGTCTTGGCTTTGCGTTGCAGAGTTTGTGGCGGCCGCCTCCCGGGTTAGCCCTTTCTTTTCCTTCTCTTTGGGTATGAAGCTCCAGGGAGCCGTAGGGGCTCCCCACAGAAAACCAGCGTTGAATGTAATGAAACGCCATTTTCTGGGTGAGCCCCGGAGGCTCCCTGGAAACCCTCCCTCCCACCGGTCGGCGGTTTTTTCGCGTTGGTTGAAGCTTAGCTTCCGAACTGGAGCTTGGCAGCCGGTGCGGTAGGTCCGGGGCTCCCCCCTCCCCCTCCCGGGGTGGGGAGGGCTGCGCGGACGATCGGCGCGGCAGTAAAGTGTGATGTTTGCTTGTTTGCTTGTTTCCTTGGGTTTGTAGGGAGTTTTCTACCTCTCTGTTCGGTTTTTGTTGTAGTTTCTTACCATGTGGGGTTTGTTTTGTTACGCCTACCTTTCTGGGTGCCTAACCCCGGTCGATGGCAGATAAGGAAAACCCCCAACCATATGGGGTTTTCCAGGGCCATTGCTCCCTGAAACCTCTCTGAAGGGGCCAGGTTCTGGCGCTGGTCCCTGGTAGGTCTGAACTCCTTAGCTAATGTCCCGGTCTAACATAACATACATTAGCCCGATAAGCTCCAGGGAGCCTCCGGGGCTCACCCAGAAAATGGCGTTTCATTACATTCAACGCTGGTTTTTTTTTTTTTTTTTTTTTTGGAGATATATACAAGATATATTTTGAGATATTTACATTTCCATACACTCCCCTTAGGATCTTAAGCTCTTAATCTCCAGCCAGCTCCAGACTGCAAAATCCTAGTCACTATACCATCCTTGCCTCCGGAGAACCACTTCTCTCTCAAACTACTAGCTCAATGTTTATCACTTCATAACACACACACACATTGTGAGAGGAGTGTATGCTTCGCTTTTCAACTTCAAACTTGCTTTTACTTTTTGTTTTCTGCCGAAATGCTGTGTGTGTTTGTGGCTTTGCAAGAATGTAAAAATTTCAATCTTATGTAATCTTGCCAACCCATTGTACCTTCTTGTTAATAAAATTATTATTATTATTTTAATTATATGGATGGTGAAATACCAAAGAAACTGTTCATGGCATTTGTGAGACCAAATTTAGAATGTGCAGCAGTTGTATGGTGCCCAAATCTCGAGAAGCACATGAACAAACTGGAAAAGGTGAAATGCCATGCTACAAAATGGCTTCCGGAACTGAAAAAGAGTTACAAGGAGACTAGAAGCATTAAATATACCAAAACTAGAAGATAGAATAAAAAGGGATATGATCACTAGTTACAAACTATTAACATGAATCTACCAAATTGACAGAGGAATTCCTGAAACTTGCAACTTCACGAACAAGAAGACACAGATTCAAGATAAGGAAACAAAGATGCTGAAAAAGTATTAAAATTTTCTTTTGCAAACAGAGTGGTAGATGGTTGGAATAAGTTAAGTGTGGTGGTGGTGGTGGTGGTGGACAAACCCATCGGTAGTTTCAAAGCATTGTGACGAGTACTGGGAAGACAGAACACTACGAGCATAGCTCTCATAACTACACTTTAGTAATTACACATACTACTCATGATACCAACTCGAAGATTCCACCATAAGTCTAGCCTGGCTACAATGAAAGTGGAGTCCTCTATCCGGGACATGTCACCCTCGCGATGTGTTCATGGCTCTGCACCAACTACTTGATGCAGCTTGCATATTGGAACTACTTGTCCCAATTGCTTGAGCCAATATCTCGTCTCCTGTCCCACATATGTAACATGCCCTCTGGCCCTCCACACAACTCATTTGTGCATTAGCTTTAAAGACCATTTCTGGCTATAGTTTCCAGTCGCCATTAGGTCACTGAAGTACCATCAGCCTTACATAATCAAGGGACACCCTCAGGATTCCAGCAAGCTGATGTCCCTGATGTCTCCTCAATCTTAATAAATCCAGCTTCCATACTTGGCCCATTCATACGCACCCATGAACACTTCCGCTGCCTCATAGTTTGAGAGAGCCTAACTAATCATATCTGTTTAGGTCATAACATGTAATCATCAGTTATCTTGTTTCGAGCATAAGTTAGATACGACTTTGGGTGGATACAAATGGATGTCTCCTATAGGCCTTCTGCAATTTACTTTTATTCTTATGTTTTGAAATGCTTGCAGGTGTCGACGAGGGAAGCAGAGAGCGAGAACCTTCGTCGGCAGGTGAGGGCACGGGAGGCTCAGCTCGAGGAGCTCCACCACGCCAGGGAACTTCTAGCTAATGATGCCCAGGTAACATGTGCCTTTTGTCCTTCATATGGCTTCCTTGTTCTCCATCTGGGCCCTTTGCCCTCCACCTGGGTTCCCTTGTCCCTTACCACAGCACACAAACACAAGCATGTAATCTTGTTAACACACACACCCATGTACATGGATTTCTCAGCACATTCAACAGAGTTCCAGTAATTAGGAAGTTGGTATTCCATTTGACTGAAGGTTGAGAGGCATGACCCAAAAACCTCCTAATTCAACCTCCTAATTTAGCTACTATATCTGTATCATAAGAGATGGTAACCATAGAAAGCTTGTGAACCCGTACTTGTGCCACAGGTGGTGGTGGCAGCAGTGAAGCAATGGCTCCATGAACAGAAGACGGCCAACACCAAACTTTCCAGCAAACTCCACCAGCAGAATAAGCACATCCTTCTCCTTAACACAGAGAAACAGTGAGTGTGTGTGTTGCTGCTTTTTTTTGTGTGTGTGTTCTTGTAACCTTATTGTCCCGTGTTCATAGAAGCACACCAAACGAGAAATTACTGTTTTAGTTGCTGATGTTTGTGTGAATACACCCTGTTCATTGCTTGTTTATGTATGATGCTAATGAGAAACATATACCTCCCCTCTTTGAGCCTGGTGTATGTATACCTTGGTGGATCCTGGTGTATGTCCCCCCCCCACCCCTTTCCATTTAATCCTGGTATGTGCATACCTCCTAGTTGGATTGTGGTGTGTGTATGATAGTGATGGTGTATGTATACCTTCTGTAGGTTTCTGGCAGAGCGGAACACCAGCCTCCAGAGGACCAATCATGACCTCTCAATCCAACTCCAGGACCTCCGTGCCCGCCTTGGTCTCCCAGTCACACCTGCATCACCTGAGGTAAGCTCTACTCTTTCACATACATGATATGCATACAATTTATGCACATTCCATACATTCGTGTATGCACACCTTCATATACTCTTCTATACATGCTGATAATAGTTCCCATGCTCTGGATTGATATATATTTTCATCGCCATTCGAGAGCCACTGTCTTGGTGTAACAATCGGAGCTCATGAAAACAATACCCATCTTGTTGGCTTACCTCCATCCCTTATTGATATGCATTCTTGTCTGGGGTAAACCATCTGACATATGCTATTCTTTATTCATAGGCGACACATGAGAAATACTTCACTTACATGTTTCTCTTCTGTTGAACATGTTAAATATAACTGTCTACTGTACTTGGTTATTGTAGAAACAATAGGAAATTTGAATGACTGATATCATAGAGATTAAGGGAGATTATTAATTACCATAACCAACTAGACACAGAAGAATGATGTAATAATTCATCTTGGGGGGAAAAATGATAGGAGGATGGGTATTTTCAGGTCACACGTATAGATATAATAAACTGAAATAAAACTTGGTAGATCCTATCAGCAAGAATTTCTACATCAAGCATTAAGTAGGTGATGAGCTGAATTATGGGGTAAGGCTTTGATATCAGGAACTCGGGTATTTTTTTGCCAGAATAAGCTACAGCAAATTCTCACTAAATTTTCACTTGAGCTAACAACCTTCCCTTTGCTCAAAAGTCACCTCAAGACTCAAAAATTAATGAATATCAGGAAGAGTCCTCATCTATCAAAAAGAACCACAAATGAGCCATGTTTTAGCCTCTTTATTCACTGCCAGTAAATGGGTGCCTCTGAAGTCCTTTGAACAAGGTCAAAATTCTCCTTCCTTTTTTTACCTGCTAGTATTAATGGGGATGGCTGACAGCATATGCCTCCACCAAAGGCTGCAAACTAATACTCATCTACTGGCCCCAGTATCTTCCTTTCAGTTCCCTATCCATTTTACAAATGGAGAACAAGAATCTGTTCTAAATTGTACAAAATGTAAATAGAGGTTCAATGGAGTGTTACACTAGGGTGACTGTACAGTGTTAGTTGGTATTGACAGACTGTAACAGTGGTGTTAGCGTTGATGGTCTACCATATTGGTGATTCTAGCATTCATTGTTTACTGTCTCTGGTGTTTAGCATTGATTGTTGACCATATTGGTGGTTAGTATTGATTGTTGACTGCATTGGTGGTTCTAAGGCATGGGGAGGGAAGACTAAATTGGTAATTAAAGCTTTGATACTAAATGTGGAATTGGAACAACACTTGAACTGTGGCCAGCATCTCTGTAAGCCAACCAAGGTAACTTCTGCCTGGCCCTCAGTTCCAGCAAGCACTCCTGACATCCAGTATGAAGTGAAACACAATGTGAGGTGGCCATCTTACTGATATCTGTATGCAAATAATTATCAAATGGCAGGATATTGGAAATGCTCTAAATGTCACTTAGGATACTAATACTTGAAGTATGTACTGTACTTGTCTAAAGAAGGCACCAAGCCTGAAAGGTTATTTTGCATTATGTCGCAGGAGCAAAATAGACAATAAGTTACAGAATTTTTTTTATACAGTACAAGTATCTTTCCATCTACATTGTGACATAGGCACAATCAGAGAACACTGTATAAACATCAGAGGTCCACAGTTGTTCAGCATCCTCCCAGCGAGCATGAGAAATATTGCCAGAACAACCGTGGACATCTTCAAGAGAAAACTAGATAGTTTTCTTCAAGGAGTGCCGGGCTGTGGTGGGTATGTGAGCCTGTGGGCCGCTCCAAGCAACAGCCTAGTGGACCAAACTCGAAAGTCGAGCCTGGCCTCGGGCCAGGTTTGGAGTAGAACCACTCCCAGAACCCCATCAAGCAGGTGATGTATAGTCTTCATTACTGTAAGACTAACACAAGTGTGTTATTTAATTTTGTTGTGGACAGGCAGCCTGTGTATATACAATATATATTTTAGGCTTGTATTGAGGCCCCCATCCATTGTCAAACTACTGACCCTTTCCCAGGATGCCACCCCATAAGTTGTCTAACTCTTGGGAACCTGTTTTCTGCTAGGTGATAAGCACATTTCCTTTCATCTAATGTTTCTAAACTATTTTTGCCCCAATGGGATTCCAGATTTAGTTGAGAATGATCTGAACTGCGTTACCAAGACCCAGTAGCAATCTCTTGATGGCACCAATGTATCGCCGAATTTAAGCCATCTTCCACACATTAATCCAACTTATTTTTATTTTCCAGAAGCTTGGCAGAATGGATGGTATCCTACGTGGGCTGTCGTCTCCTCCCCTAGGACCGTGCCAGAGCCTTGGGATGTCCCCCACCAGGCCACTCTCCTCCACTGCCTACCTCGATAATGTCCTGGGCCTTGTTACTCCACTGGATAATAAACACGAAGATGTCCTCAGTGTGAGTCTTTCCTTATTTGCTAGATAAGCCCTTCAAATATTATATTAGTATTCCTGCTGTTTTTGTCAGGCAAAGACAACAGGAACATCGACCAACTAAAGACAAGTATTCATAGATTCAGTACAGCATTTTGTTAACCCATTGTAACGCTGGGAGGGCGTTCCCATGGTGAGTCATGGGTGCACTCTCCCGGCATTAAGGGCGTTACACCATGCTGAGCTCCGAATAGTCAGAATATTCTAGTCTTCCACAACTGGTTCTTAGGGATGCTACAGTGGTCACTTACTGGCAACAGTATTGATGATAAATCTTTTCCAAAGAGGTACAACCACTAGCCCCAGGGAAAGGGTTCCAGTCACTAGCCAGGCTATGACCCCAGGGTAAATACAGGCAGTACCAAATGAGGTGTGATACAGCATGATAAATGCAGTGTAGTACCAGCATGATGACAGGTAGAAGTAGATATTAATAGATAGGCAAGTACATTATACTTAACACTTGTGCAAGAGCACCTACAAATGCAGCACAACTAATAAGGCAGTTTAACTGCCAAAGTCATTTAGGCCATAATCTTCATAATAAAGATTATAGTAGCTTAATCTCGGTGTTAAGAATTAAAGTAAACTATGTAATATATAACATATAAAACTATGTAAAGCATCCAACAGTCTAATGATTTATCTTGATGAACTCCATGCCTTTATTTTCTTTAATTTATGCATATTATGTACAGACATGCTCGTCAGAGGGGAGTAGCAACAGCAGCGGGTGTCAGGTGCCCGGGCCGGACCTCCCTGGAGCAGCACACCTGGACCGTTTAGCACACCTGGCCGACTCGCTCCTCATTGCCTCCAGGTGCTTACTTTCTCGGTATACACTTCTCATCCCAGCTCTCAAGATCACTTATAATAATGTGATTTAATGACCTTCGTTATTACATTTCCTTGAGTAACTATCCACTTTACAAACATTAGTTGCCAGTAAAATATAGTAATGCCAAGGTCCACTTTTAAACATTTAGCAGAGCTTCTGGAGAAATCATTCCAGGGGTAACCAACCACTCTGCCACTTCAAAACATCATCCTGATTAAACCTAGTGTGCCATTACAATTATGAAAGTAGACATTTGCTTCTATAATGTGTAGGTCGTATAGCATTTCATGATATTCCATGTTTTGAAACTTTGCTTTTGTTATAGGAACATCAGTCGGGCTTCAGGCATCTTCTCGCACTATAACTCTGGCCAAATGACCTCGGCAACCTCCCTGGGCGATCTCACATCAACTGCCACCTTGGGTCACTTGAGGTCAACTCTGGCACTTACCAAGACTACATCGTCATCGGTGGGTAATTTGACGTCCCTATTCCCTCAAGACCGAAGAGACAAAGCTCAAAGTCCTGTATCCATACTAGGCAATCGGGTCGGTGACTTGTGCACATTATCACCTGGGTCAAAGGTCAAATGCCGGGGGACCGAGGTCATCTTGGCTGCCCCAGTGAGAGAGAGGAGGTCATCATCAGTTCTTATGTACAACAACAACGACAGCATAGAGGAGGCAGATGAGGAGGAATCATCCACTCTAGCAACTAACAAAACTGGTACACTCCAGGAAACGTCTAATGCTTTTGACAAGTCATCCAGAACCACGTCATCCTCTTCCAGTCTCCTCTCGACGTCATGTAGTGGCTCGCAAGGGTCATCCAGAACCTCTCCAGCCTCCAGTGCATCACAGGGATCATCCAGTACCTTGCAAGAGTCTTCCTGTAACATTCAGGAGTCTTTCAGCACCTTACAAGACTCCTCGAGCATCTCATCAGTCACTACCATACAACACACTTCCTCCAGCATCGTATAGGGGCTATTTAAACTTTAAGGGTTGCTCAAAGCATCAGTAAAGACTGACCAACCCTCCAGGATGGGTGTTAACTAACACCTTTCAGGGGCCAATTAGTTCCTGATTTTGGGTGTAATAGTTCCTCACTTATATTTTAAAAGGTGTCAAGAGTAAAGAAACGTCCAAAATCCCCCCAACCTTCCATGCCTCACAAGTGTATTCCTCTAAGGCGTCGTCCCAAGTAACGACAGTGCTGCATGAAACGGACAGGGACAGACACACACTTTTTCTTTTGCAAATAGTGGCAGATGACAAAACTGTCAGTTTGTGTTATGCGACAGTACTGGGAAGACGGGAATGAGCGTAGCTTTTCTGTAACTACAGTACACTTGGGTAATTACACACACACACACACACAGCTCCCCCTCCCCAGTCATTCACTGTGCAGTCTGCTAACTAACCAGCTTGTATTCACAACATTGATGGAGCTACCACACATAAACCAAATACTGTACTGGAATACATACACTAAATAAGAGCCATCACACTCATGACTGACTGATGCCCAGTTGAACCAGGGACTCCAATATCAGAGAATTTACCACGTTAATCATTACATGTATAAATAACCAATAACCTACAAAAAGTGTCATGGTTGCCTAGTGCCTTAATGGAATTAAACTGAAAACTATGTGTAAATACTGTATTTTGATTTATAAGTTGATTGCAAATTTATTTAATCCATTTTACAGCTGTATTTGTAAATAAAAATTGTATATCCGTTTGCAAGTCGTGAACAGCTAAAGTGTCTGCAAGACAGTACTGAATGCACATTCTTGACATACTAGTATATACGTCTTTAAACATCAATTATTTCAGCTGATAACTTTTTAGAATGTATAGATGTGAATTTGTTGTCCTTTTTAGCTTATGAGATGTCAAGTCACCACCTCCAAGTGTAAACTCTTGGTTGAAAACCCAGAAAGTCTTGATTAAATCGGTTTTTGCATTACAGCAGCACTAGTGTAGGAGGTGGCGGTCTAGGAATCGGCACATGGGTGGTCTTAATTTGAGTTTGGTCCACCAGGCTGGACCATTTGTCTTTGATTAGCTTAACCATTATTATCTCGGCTGAAATGCCACGACATGAACATGCTGGGGTAGGAACATGAATGATTTGACCCCTTTTTGGTTGAGTTATAACTACAAAGTCCAGCTTTCGACCTACCTCTCCAGGTAGTTGTCGCAGACATTTTGACCTCGCGCTCCAGACAGTTCAGTTGTCCACTACTGAACCACCTATCTGGGAGGTTAAAATGTGGACTTTTTGACCCCCTCCCCAGGCAGTTCAGCCAAGGACTGAACTGCCTGGAGGGGAAGGTCTAAATGTGCACGACTTAAATTAAAAGCTTTGATTATGAAACTCCCAAATACCTAGTCAGCTTCAGTTTTATCTTGTGTTCTTAATGTTCATAAATGTTTCCACAATTTGTAAGTGGAAAAAAACCTGTTGGATATACTGTAAAGGCTGAAAAATTTTGTAAACATATTGTGGTCCAAATATTCTTTGCCTGCTTTTTTATAATAGGCATTGTTACTTAATCTGAAGATATTCTGCTATTATAGTGTATAAACTGTATAATAAATGTCGCTTACTTGTACATAAAGAACAAATTTGCTTAATATATATATATATATAAATATACACTTGTGTAATTATCCATGTTTTCATTAAAGAATTGAAAATTATAAATATTTCAAGTCCCTGGCTCAGAGAAATCACAGTACTGTAATACTATATATCAATGAGAAAATCCACAGGAGCCATGATGAGGATTCAAACCTATGCGCTGTCTTCTCCCAGACAACTAGGCCACAACATGGTAAGAGAATTGCAACCTGGGGTTCTGGCTGACCCCACCCCCCCCCAAGGCTTCCACTGAAGCCAAACCAGGGTTTCTCACAATTCCCCCATGCACTCTATCAGAGTGCATGGGGGAATTGTGAGAAACCCTGGTTTGGCTTCAGTGGAAGCCTTGGGGGGGGGGGGGTCAGCCAGAACCCCAGGTTGCAATTCTCTTACCATGTTGTGGCCTAGTTGTCTGGGAGAAGACAGCGCATAGGTTCGAATCCTCATCACGGCTCCTGTGGATTTTCTCGTTCCCTGCTCAGCCCTTTTGTTTCTTAATTTCAAGTCTTGTGAAGAAATGTGGTGGCATTGAACTGGCAACTGTGGGCCATGAAGCTTTTCAAGGTAAACTAAAATATTCACAATAAATTAGTATGTCACATATGCACGTATTTAATAAGTCAATATTGACTTAAGGAAGTGCGAGAACGGGTTGGAAAATGACTTGATTTTGGTCTATTGAATACCATTTATTAAACATGGTTACACGCCAAAGAGAACACTGGTAAAGTTAAACCCAACTGTTTGACACCTCCATCCTGGAAACAGCCATTGTTTCCAAAATGGTAATGAAAGTGAGTAAATATTTTATTTATATTTTTTTGAAGGGGGGGTGGAAGGAACAGGCATTGAAGTCCATTTGGAAAAGATAATTATGCAAGAATTTAATGCAGAAAGTTGGTAAAACAAATTAAAACGTTAATTTGTGCTGAGTAAACCATTACTTGCGTATTTGTAATAAAGTACCTACCTCATGTTAGGCGAATTTAATGCTTTCAAAACTTCAAGAAGCAAAGGCTTGCTGTAGTTTGTACTGTATTTTCACCTGCATTGGGAGATGTTATATTTTATCAATTGCCTTTATGCAATAATATTTTTTATATTCACAACCAAAACAACTTATATTTTCAGGCAGCATTAGATCTTGGAACATGTAAATCGGGATTTGGATTTGGAGGCACTGGAAAAAAGTCTAATTGCAAGCAGTTTGACGATTATGGTGAATCTTTTGGCCTCAGGGATGTCATTGGTTGCTATCTCAACCTGGATGCCATGGAGATGCATTACAGCAAAAATGGCACTGATTTAGGTAAAGCTTTCACATTACGAAGTGAATTCAAGAATGCTGTCTTCCATCCAGCTGTAGTTTTGAAGGTTGGTAGTATAGTACATGCATTATTCATGTTAGTTGTGTATTTTAAGCAGTGGTGGATAATTGGATGATGATATTAATTAATTATAGATATGGTCTAAGGCAGACTGAAATTTGCCCAGTTTTTTCTTTTTGTTGGTTTGTTATGCATTTGTCACAGTATTTGGACTTGGTGTATTTCAAAAGTGTATAGTGGTCATGTATATATACAGTGACACCTCCAAAATTTGGATCATATTTATGATCTAGGTCATTAAGAAAATTAATACAAATAAGTAAATTTCTTATTGAATTTTCTATCAGTTTTTAACTGTTGGTTCTTTACTCAAATCTCTCTAATTTCAATAAAGTGCAAGAATAACTTCAGTGAATTTAATGATATTTGAAAGTTACAGATGATAGCAATTTATGTGATTTCCAGAATGCAGAGATGTCTTTCAATTTTGGTGCAACAGAGTTCAAGCACCCACCTAAAGCGGGATACGTAGCAGTGTCTCAGGCCAGCAAGGACTGTACTGTGAGCTCAGGTGTGAAGGGAGGTGGAGACAAGCCACAAAAGCTTCAGAACAATGCTCCACACGCTGTCATTATTGAGGTAAGAATGGTAACACATGACTGGTCTGTATTTACTTGTCCAGTATCTGGTTTATATTGATTGCTGGATGGATGTCTAACAATATAACCTATACAGTTCGGTACAGATTCATTTTTACATCACTGTTGCTTTTAAACTAACCTGTTCATTAAATCCTGGATACATACAATATGAAGATTCAAACTAAAAGTAGTATGTTGTGCTATGTGAATTGTTAAACAGTTTAGATAGAAGTGGCAAGTTCCAAAAGCAGACCATTTTTTTTTTAATGCAAACAAAAGTTTTTATCATTTAACAGCCTTCAAGAGAACTCGCAGAACAGACCCTAAAACAGGTTCAAATGTTTCGTAAGCATCTAGATAATCCAGTGGTTCGTGACCTTCTTGTTGTTGGTGGTATACCCGTGAAGGAGCAAATAGCAGCACTCAATGCAGGTGTGGATATTGTTTGCGGTACTCCAGGACGCTTGGAAGATCTTATTAATACAGGACAACTCTCTCTCCAGTCTTGCAAATTCTTTGTGTTGGATGAGGCTGATGGACTTCTTAAACAGGTAAGTTTGATTTTATCCAAGGAAAAGTACTTTTTATATTTTGGTAGTAAATATGTAGGAATACCTGATATAAATTCAAGTACTGTATCATCAGCTTGCCTTATGAATTAGAAAAAAAACTAAGAACTCTTGACTACCCGATTTCTTGTATTAAGTCAACTACTCGTGGAACATTTACACATTTCCTTAATGTGCGTCTTTGGCTATCAGTAAATGGGCACTTGAGAGTTGGGCAACTTTTATAGATTTCATCCTGGAAAGGTTGGTCATATTTTTTAAATGACTTTAAATATACAGCTGATTTATTTATAAGGTAACTTGATGCATTATTGTATTTTGTTGACTTTCATTTATTGCATTAAATTTCTTGCCATATTTTGTTTCCTGTAATTACTTTATCTTGTATACAAGTGTACTGGTATTGCAGGGGCATGAGCGTCTCATCAATAACATCTACAACTCCATACCCAAAATCACATCTGAAGGCAAGAGACTCCAGATGGTGGTCTGTTCTGCCACCCTACATTCCTTTGAAGTGAAGCGCATGGCAGTAAGTTTCTGAACCCTTATTTGGTAACACTTGTTTGCTAAGGAAAATTGTGCCTTCTCAACGGTGCAATGTCTTAAGACTAAGGATTATGAATTATCTTAGATTATGGTATACTATATAATAATCAAGTGAAAATTAACAAAGTGAATAGCATGACTAGTGTGTTCCAAGCATATATGGAGTGGAAAGAATGTTGTCTAATGTATCAATTAGTTTCCATAAAGAATATTTTGTACAAGGGTGACATTTTATTAATGGTTAGGTATACATATTTTATATATATAATATGACATTGTGTCTTTAATACTTCAAAGTTACTTAATGCTCTCTTTTTCAATGTGGAAATACTGTAGATTGAATCATAAGTGCATGTTAGGAATTTGTGTATCAGACTTTATGAATGTAATTGCAGAAGTGGTGAAGGTGAGAGATTCAGTAGTTTAAAGCTTTGCTATTCATGTTGGAAGGCTGCTGAAAATGTGTTACCTGAAAGAAATAGAAGAAAAGATAATATCATAGTAAATATAGTACAATATTTAGTATGTTGCTTTTACTATAGGCACGGTTTACATTCCACCCGTCAATTTCCTTCCCTCAGTTCTGTCTTTGCTCAATCTTATTTGCATGAAACTTTTTTCCAATTACACGCATCAAATATTTAAACGACAGATTCTAGTACTGTACTTCCTACATCACACACTCGTCATCCTTTCTACTACAGTTTGCTTCAGTTTACTCATTTTCAAGTCTTCTACTATCCACAGTAAAGCTTTCAGCTGCACAATATCTCAGCCCTCGCACACTGCTACAACTCCATGTTTCACCCAAGTATGGATGATGATGTTGATGTTCAAGATTCGCTACTTGGAACAAAAAGTCCCAAGCAGCACGGGCTATGGTGAGCCTGTAGGATGATGATGACAAAACTCTGGCATGTTACATTTCATCCACCTGCTTTAAAGCTGTCATTAAGAGCTATAGAAACTTAATTTTGAGAACCTTTCACAGAGGAGCAGCATCATTACCAATTTTCCATGCAGATTTCACTTGAGGACTTTAAGGCATCAGTGCAGCTACTTCCTTCCCTCTCTTCCCTCATTTCACAACCTGTCCTCTTAAAAATGTCGCTTTTGGCCGTTTGCCCGTATGGCCGAAAGTGGACGTACAGTTATATGAAAATGAAAAAAAAAATGAAAATTTGGGATTTTTTTTTTTTTTCAACAACAGTAAGTTAAGGGTCCTCTGGTAGGTTAGGTGGGCAGGAAATTCTCATAAAGTTTCAAAACGTTATGAAAAACGTTAATTGAAAGTCTCCTCTTCTAACCTTACCGAGTAAGCCGGACGACTCAAACAGAAAACAGGACAGTACGTCACTTTTGTGAGTTAATTTCATTTCAAATTACGTCCACTTTTGGCCATAGCGCGTATACGAGCGAAAAGTGACGTTATTTTTAAGAGGACGGGTTGCATGTCATCCCATCATCTTCCTGTGAAGAGGAAGTTTGTGTTGTTGTATTTCTGCAGTAATTGGCATCTCACAAGGAGCTCTGTATACCTACTTAAGCACTACTGTGGATCATTGCTGCTATTGATTTACTGGTGTGTGTGGTCATTCATGTTCTGTGATTGTGTTTTGTGAAAAGTATGGTTAATTTATTGTGTAATATGTGTAACAAGTTTTATCTCTTCATATACGCCTCCATGTTTTCTTGGTGTTGATGCCTTCCAACCTCGTGAAAGTGGAACATAGTGGTAGTGGAGCAAGCTTGTCTGATATTAGACACTGAACTTAAGAATCCTGTGTGTGGATGGTGCAAGTGCATTGCACCTAACGATGCACTTGCAATGCACTATTTAAGTCAATTTAAATTATTTATTCCAGAAATATGTAGAAAAATGTTGAAATTCTGCTTGATTGTATTAAGGAGATGGAAAATGTATTTAAAGCAGATTACTTAAAAAATGAACAGAAGTACAGTACTTGCTATATTTTGTATTTAAATGTTATTATTAACTGATAAAATAGAATTGTCTGTAAATGGTACAGTATGAATATAATGTACTGTATTGCTAATTATTGTTATGTCAGTTCTTATAGCAGATTATTTGAAAGAATTGGTAGCTACTAGTCTGTTAAATAAGGGTGTACATGTTGAAGCCAAAACTTTTATCGTATAATATTTTTTTTAATTTTGGTTTTTAATTTAGTGTCTATAAATAAGAGATGTACAAAAAATTTGTAAAAAGAAGAAAAAAATAATAATTTTACCAAGAATATTTTCTTGATATTAGAGCCTCTGAATTCCAAATAGAGTACAGATATTTCAATACCTTAAAATAATTTTGCTCCGACCAGTGAATTTTACTATAGAAAAACTTTACATAGGAACGTTTGATGCACTTCCCGACCTGGGTAGATCTTAAAGGGGAAGATGCTGTGCCCGAGACTGTCCACCACGTTGTTGTAACCATTGATCCCAGAACGGATAGTAGCTGGAGCAATCTTCGTCGCCATCTGCAGACTGATGGCGTGCATGTTAAGGATGGCGTACGACCTGGGAACAATACACCTGGTAAGCAAATAAAAGTGCAAGGCTAAGCTTTACAGTTAATATTTGAGAATGTGTCTTAGTTTTTGAAAGTACTGTAAGTGTAAGTGCTTCTAATGTTTTAATTTGTTATGCTTTTCAGTTTGGTTTCTAGAATTTTTCTTTAGCTTGTTCAGATATGTATTTAGATACCATTTGCCAATTTTAATGGTTTGTAATATGCTGCTTCACATTATGAGCTATGAATATTTTTTGAGGTTCACTTAAGCTGGCTTGTACAGGCATACCTCAGTTTAAGAGTTTAATTGGTTCCTGGAGATGCCTCGTATTCCGAAAACTCGTAATCCGAAGCTAATTTCCCTAAAAGAAATAAAGGGAAATGAATTAATCCGTTCCTGACTACCCCAAAAACCCCACATCAAACTAAATTTTTATACCTAATTCATCTAAATAAACCTACAAAACTATGTTCAAGTTATTACTTACCTTGCTGTTGAATGCTGTAGGCGTATGGAAGATGGTGAGGAGGGGGGAGAAGGAGAGGAGTTACTGTTTGGAAGGGGAGTCCCCTTCCATTATCACATCAGGCAGTGAAGACCTTTCTGGTGTGCTCTCCCTGGGATGTTTTATCCGAGTGCCACTAGGTCCTGGTTGAGGCTCTGCTCGATTTCCTCACCACAAATCTGTCTAAACCCTGGCTTTCTCACAAATAATGGCCTCCGAAACACTGTCACCCCTTAACTCCTTGTCGTGTATCCAAATTAATAGCAACTTTTCCACTTCTTCAAGTATTTGTGGTCTTTGTTTCGTTATTGTTCTGACTCCTTTTGCCACTTTAGCACTCATAATCTCATTTTTCTTCTTAAGTATAGTGCATATTGTTGATGTGGCTTTGTTGTACTGCCTACAAAGTTCAACAACACGTGTACCGTTCTCATGCTTCCGAATGATCTCTTGTTTCTCCTCTATTGTCATCCTCACATGGGCTTTCTGGCCTTTATCCTTACCACTGGCTTTCTTGGGATCCATGGAGAGATATATAATAACAAATTGTATAGTCAAATCACCAAAAATCCAACAAAACACTGAAAATCCGCGAGAAGAATTGATGTGGGGTAGTCACTGGGCGCGAGACAATGGTAAACCGAGGGGTGGAGGGGCGACGATCGCCGAACCACCACGCGCTGGGTCGGCCTGTACGCGTATCAACAAACTTGTGTCCCGAGGTAACCCTCGCGTTCCGAGACATATTTTTCGAGGAAATCCTGCTCGTATTCCGAAAAACTCGCATACAGGGACACTCGCATTCCGAGGTACCACTGTACTTAAGCATTAGTACCGATCGGCACGACCAGTTGGCCTGGCCCCTGCCTTCAACTAACTTCATTTGTGAGAAACCAAGGCATTTGCATGAAGACCTTTTAAAGAAAACCCCTGGAACGAGGGGGAAGAAGATGAATCAAGTTTGAAAATGTGAAAAGTTTGTGTGACAATAGAGCCTCGTGGAAAACTTTTGCTGTGGTCATTACCTGGTGGAATGCACCCAGGATGGAGTATCAGGGCTATACATCTTTTAAATCATAAAAGTAATAAACATTTCCCATCAACCTTACAAACCATATTAACCTATTTTCATGTATTTCCCCCATGTGCATTTTAACAAAGTTACTAAATTGCCATTATCATTCTGTAAAATTTCAATTACAGTATACTGTATATAATTTTGTTAGTATAAATGGACTGAATATTCTGAAATCACTATTAATTTTACAATTTCAGATTCAAAGGTGGTCTGGACACCCAATTTGGTCAGACGGGTGAAGAGAGCATTTAGGATAGTTCGAAGAGATGAAGATGGTCACAATTGTGTTTGAAGAGGCAAACGCCCCCCTTTGCTCCTGACATTATGTTCAGCCTATTGACCCCTGCACACCTAACACAAGGTAGGTTGAAAACTCCTCCTTCATGTCATTGGTTCATTAGCCAGAAACTTAGGGCCCATGCAGGAATATCCCTAAAAAAAAAAAAGTGGCCCCAACAATGCATCCTCCAAGTCTGGAGGATGAGCAGGAGCATTGTCGAGAAGCAGGCCCTTTAGTGTCAAACTTTTCTCTTGCAGATATTTTTTGATGGCAGGGCAAACCACTCTACATCACAGTTTTTCTGCACGTTATATATTTTTTAAAACTCTTGGATTTTCGGAATGATACACGAGCAAGGGTTTAATTTTCAAATTGCCACACAGCACAAGAGTTAGCCTATCCTGACACAAGTTAGCCCAAATTAGCTTGTGTCCGGGCAGTGATGTCTCCTCTTTGGTAATGTATGTCCTCTTCGGCAATTTTTTCCAGAATAGCCATGTCTCCTCACAATTAAACACTTGTTGTGGAATATATCCATCAATACAGTATCTACAAAATCTTTAAAATCACGAACAAATCTTTCAGCCCCTACTTTGTCTGAGCTGGCACCCTCACCATGCCTCACAACACTATGAATACCACGTCTTTTTTTCAAAATTTCTCAAACCATCCCCTACTCACCTTAAACTCTTTCGTATCTGCAAAACTCGTTCTAGGGGTTTTCTTTATAAGATCTTGCATGAAGATTTCATTGTTGACCAAACCACACACTGGAAATTGAATAGACGACGACATTTCGATCCGTCCTGGACCATTATAAAGTCGATTGTGATGAGATGAGGGAAGCAAGAGCATTAAGTAGGCAAGAGAGAGAGGTGAGGAGATGGCAAGTATGTACGTATGTACATGAATAAAACATGTACATACTTATACATAACGTGTGTAAATAGTGTAATAAACACAATAACAGTATTTTGGGAGGAGGAATGTTGGCGAGTAATGTGTTGGAGGAGGGAGGGAGGACTGGCAGGGTGTGGTAACTCACTCATGTTTTTTGGGCTCACCATACCAACACAGTAGATCGTTATGGTGAATACATACGTAGATGGGTATATACAATGTGTGTATATAGTGTAATAACAGCAAAAACACTGTTTGATTGTAGAATATGTTGCATATATGAGGCCCATAATTTTGAGCATAGCGATGTTCTATACTTTGAATTATATAAATTCCACAAATTACACACTTTTAAATAATATTACAGCAAAAAAAAGGAAGAAATGAATGAGAAACTTCAAAATAATTGCGCAACATTTTATTCGCAGCAACTGCCGTCGCACTGGGTGGCGGGGCCGACAGACCCCCGTCGCTCCAAATCTTAGCGCCCATAAATTACTCAACTTCCCAGCTCCATCGCAGCTAAAGTAAGTCACATACAATATTTTTTGTTTAGTTTCCCCGTGATCAGACTCTGCATTTTAACAATATAAGAAGAGAAAAAAAAATTTTGGAAAGAATTTATTTCTTGTGCACCAGGGTGTTATTTGGAGACAGAGCAGTTCAGTGGTTAACTACTAAATTTTTTTTTCTCCCACACACGCACCCCCCTAGGAAGCAGCCTGTAAGAGCTAACTCCCAGATACCTATTTACTGTTAGGTAACAGGGATCATCCCCTTTTGTACAAAGAATCTGCTAAAGCTTTTAGGGCTAATCTTTGACACTCGTTTGTCTTTGTCGCCCCATATTTTTTACGTCCGAGTTGAATGCTCTAAGGCCCTTAACTAACTTTAGGTCATGTCCCATACTTCTTGGGGAGCTAATCGACACTGCTCCTCTCTTTACATTCCTCTCTCGTTCTGTCTAAACTCGATTATGGCCCTGTTTACTCGTCTGCTTCTCCTTCTACCCTTCACCATCTGGACACACTGCATCATACTGGGTTACGGCTCAGCTCTGGTACCTTTCCTTCGACACCTACCCTAAGCCTGTATGTTGAAACTGGCGTCCTGTTTCTACAGGATCGCCATGATCGCTACTGTCTTCTCCACCTTGCACGGTCCTTACAGCACCCTCACTCTTGCTTATGTCATGCCTTGACCTTTACCCATCCTGTGGTTCCTGTTCCCCTTCACCACCTATCTCTTTCTGTACGGTTGCCTCTCTTACAAAATGCTCTTTCAGTTTGTGTTACCAATATTTCCCCTCGTGTCATTCCGTCTTTGCCCCTATGGAGGGGTCCCCGTTCCTAAATTCTGTAAGCCTTGACCCACATGACTAAAACTTTTACCCCTCCTACAGTTCTAAATCACCTTTTCCTTGAACACTTTTCTTCACACTTCCACTCTATTTCCGTCTTCACCAATGGGTCTCAAGTCTGCAGACGGTGTAGGCTACTCTGTTGTTTTTCCTGACTGCACCTTTGTGTCTCCTGCCTCCGGAGACTAGCATCTTCATGGCAGAACTTTATGCTATTCTCTATGCTCTTCATCAACTCTTTTCTCGCTGTCAATCCTCCTCTGTGTTTGTAGTTGACACTTGCAGTGCCCTCATGGCTCTAGAATCCTTTAATCCAGTCCATCCTTTGGTAGTTGAAATTCAACATTGGCTGTTTCTTATCTCCAGTAGATTTAAGACAGTGGAATTTCGCTGGATTCCCACCCATATTGGTGTGTTCTTAAATGAGCGTGCGGACACTGCCGCTAAGGAAGCTATCCGCACCTGTCCCATCTCCCGTAAAGGTATTCCTTATTATGACTTTTACCCAGTTATTCATTTCCCCATTCTTGCCCGTTGTCAGGGTTGTTGGTCTTCTGTTACTGGTAACAAACTGCGTGCTCTTAAGAGTAGCGTGTTCCCGTGGCCTTCCTCCTACCACCGTAACCGGTGGTGGGAAACGGCTCTGGCGAGGTTGTATATCGGTCATACACGTTTAACTCACGGGCACTTAATGGAGCGCTGCCCTGCTTCTTATTGTCCAAACCGTTGTCTCTACATGTCCTGACTTCCAGGACTTACGTGTCTTGCTTCCCGACCATCCCTCACTGTCAATTGTCCCTCG